TTCTTTGTATATCTTAGATCCATCAACATTAAGTAGAAAAATTCGTGTTTTTTTTTTTTTTTTTTTTTTTTGAAAAACAAATATATTTCTATTTATCTTGAAATATTACTGCCAAACACAGAAAATAATTAATACCCTTAGTTTCATATTATATAACAGTAATTATTGATGAATAAATGCTAAATGTTTCGTTGCGGTGCCCATTCGAAGTTATTAAAACATTTGGTGACAACATTGTGTGGCTTTTTCTGGGCTCGAAACAAAACGGAGCATAGCAAAGCATTTGTCATTGATCAGTAGTGGATATGTTAGTATTCTTTAATAAGTGATCAATAAAAACAACAATAATTTACTGGAAATAAATCAATATTTATATAAACTCATATACATACATCATGGTTCATGAACGTGTGTGTGTGAATCTGTGTGAAACAAATATAAGAAAAGTTCATGTTTTCTTTAAATCCCCCTCTCTCTCTCTCTCTCTCTTCGTAATGAAAATATTTACTTTTCATAATTTCTTACGACTGTTTTGTTTTTGGAACTCCAATTGAAAACAACATTCGAAAATAGTCTCAAGAAAACCTGTAGGAATGTTGTTGTGAAAGAAAACACTAACACACACACAAATTATTGAACAGAAACTTTAAAAACAAGAAGAGCATAAAAATTCTTACCTGTCGTCGTCTTCAATTTGTTTTGTTTATTTACTTAAGGTGTTTTACCAATACCATTGCATGAGTACACCTAGATCTTCTCGAAAAAAATAACAATCCATAACAATAACAAAACACAGCATCTGAAGGGAATCGTAGTAGCTCGTTCATTTGTTCAAACAAAAGACTTAGCACACAAACTTGCATGGATTCTCTTAATGATTATTATTTTGAGTCGAGCTGCTGCTGCTGCTGCCATCAAGGTGTGATGAGAGCACATGCAACATGTGCAGTGGCCTTTGCATGTGTCCATGTGTGAGTGTTATGTACTATTTGCGTGTTTTACACACGCACACACACACACCCCTACAAATATATACACAACACTCAATGAAACCAAAAAAAACATGTCTCCCTCCACATTTCATCCCATATACATTGCTGTTGTTGTTGTCAATGATGTTTTGTCGCCCTCTCGTCATCGGCTTAACTCTCAGAATCACATGCCAGTGTATTACAGTCAGCAATTTGTCAAACACGTTCAGTCAGTCACACCATCTCGTCTTGAGCGAAAGAGTAACAACATTTCACTAACGTTAAAGTGTTTTAATTTTGTGTGTTCTAAGTTGATCTTGGAAGAGAGTTGGAAAAATAAATCACACATTTACACAAAAAAATAGAATATTCCAAAAAATATATATATTTCAAACTGTCAATCTCGCGTTCATTTATTGGACATTTCAGTTTGTTTTTTTTTTACAAAATAAAATGCCCGCTTAAATTATGGATATTGCCCGCAGCATCAACACCAACAGCAAAGCTCTTTAATTTCAATGACTTGGCCAAAAATGTTTGTTTTCTGAAACGCCAAACAAATCATCATCAACACGCCGCTGCATCGAAAAAAGTGCTACAAAATTGTGATCAATATTCTTAAGTGGTTGTGCATAATTGTGCTGCATTTAAAAATTGTCAAAAAAATCCCCTGCCTTACGATTTTGAAATATTTAATTTTTCAAAAGAATTTAATTTACAAATTATCTGTGATATTATCAAATTTTGGCTGTGTTCTTAACTTTTTTTATTTAAAAAATAACACAAAGTGCAATATTTTAGTTATTAAGTTGTAATTTAAGGTAATTATTTTTAAAAAAAATATTGACAAAAATAATCAACTTGAGTGCACTGTTTCAAATTGTTTAAAAGGGTTTTAATTTTACCTATCTTGCATTTATAAAAAAGCAACAAATATGGACCTCTTGTTAGCTGTTGGAAAAAATATTAGCATGAAAACCATGCTCAAGGTTTTCTTATATTACATTTGTATCTTTAGGTTTAATTTTTCATTTATCGCTGGCTACAAAACAAGAGAGCCACTCTTAATGGCCAATTGAACTTTTGGTAGAAATCAAGCAAAATATGGATTATTTCTAATGGGTCATATCTCAAAGACCTATCCGAATGTTGTTTTCATAGCTGCGCTACAGTTGTGGCTAGCAAAATCTTAGAAGATATCAATACTGGATTTTGGGGCTTCAAGCAACAACATTGATCCCAAATATGGAATTTGTAACTTCTTTAAATGCAGGATCACGTTTAATAATAAATATATATTTATCTCGACCATCACCTTTTTTATGACAATATACAGCTTACTGTATTTACTCTCTTAGAATAGCAGTTTTAAATGAGAAGACCAACAGGTCTTTTATCAAAAGATCAGGACATTTTCATGACATCTCTTATAAGGAAATCAGCATCGATTCCATGAGAGATAAGCTGATCTTCTATAGGTACTTTTCGACAAGATCAACTGATCTTTTATAAGCAGGTCAGGAGATCTATGAGAAGATCAGCAGGATCCCTCTGACGGAATCCTAAAAAATGTGGGTATCCTCTAATAGAAAATAGACAGAGCTCTTCTTCGTTCCACTCTCTTACGAAAAGTCCAGTAGACATTCCGCAGAAGTTCAGGAAATCGTCTGAAATGATCAGATTTCTATTAAAAGTTCACAAAATCTTCCGGGAGAGGATCTTAAATGAAAATAATATCTGGTTTTTTTATCAGAAGATCTACAATTGTTCTTTAAAAAGATTAACACTGAATCTCTTTGAAAATATTTACAGATCTTCAATGAGAAAATCAACTGATCTAAGAATATCTACCGAGTTTATATCGAGCAGATCATTATATCTTATTAAATAATATCAGGAAATCTTTTCTGAGAACATAAAAAGATTTTCTCATATCTTTATCGAGAAGAGACTGGACATCTCTTAAGAGTTCTAATATTTTTTCCACGACCATTAGAGATCTTTTCGGCGATCACCAGATTTTCTGCAGCAAAGTCAGCAAAACTGTGTATTTTCCTTAAGAAGTTCTAAAGAACAAATTTAGTTTAGTTTTTATCACAAAGTTGATAATTTATACCTAAAATCAAAACAAATTTCTTTAAATGTTTTCCCATCTTAAATGGTAAATAAGTGGAAAGGAGAGGAAAATGATTTTGGGCATACATTTTAACATTTTTTAAATCACCCAATCACGTTTCAATTCAAATACCTTTTTATCATTTTTCTTATACCTATGCGGAGACTGAGAAAAAAAATCCAACCTGTCGATCAATATCGGCACGATTTTTTTACATTTCGACAGTGTCTGGCACCTTCAGTGATCCAAAAAAATAGTTGAATGCATTACATTTAGCACCATGTGGTGAATTTTTTTCTGCCGTCTACTTCCTTCACATCTCCACTCACAGTATTTCTTAATCCATTTCTATGGCATATCTTCATAATCTTTTTCAATTTTAACACGGCTGCCGCCATGGCATTTTAAAAAATCTCAATTCACATTCATTCACAACCAAACACATACTGTGCACACTTGTCAATAATTTTTAAACGAATGGAATTTATTTCAATTTAATTTCGATCGATCTTCTGTTTGCTAACAGTTCTTCTTCTTAGCCACGCTTAACTTTATTTGTTATTCACATCTGAGTTTTTTTTTTTTTTTTTTTTTTTTTTGGTTTGGAAGATTTGAATTTTATGTCTTCTTCAACTTTAACGTCGTCGTCTCGTCGTCATGATTATCGTTTGGGTTTTTTTTTAAAGAAAATCTGTAAGATGTGTGCGTATGTTTGACCAGCAATCAGTTTTTTGTATGAAAATCAGTCAGATTTTGATGCATTGTTCACGTTTTGATTTTTTTAGGCTTGCTCTTCGTCTTCATTCTAACTTCCTTCATCAATGTTACCTTATTCAATTTTTGGTCTTTTGATATTTCTCTGAGGGCTTTGAGTAATGGATGTTGTGTTATGTGTAGGGTATTTGTTGATCTTACGAGGAGGGTATGGGCAAGGAAAGGAAACGTGAATATTTTCTGTGAACAAAAAAAAAAAACATTTAACTAAAAATTCTCAGATTCCGGCAAACAAAAAAAATCTCTGATGTTTCTGTAATTTTTCAACAAATATTAAAAAAAAAAAAACTAAATTGCAGACACATGTATTGACGTTTTGAAAATTTACATCGCAAAGCGCTCACCAGTTAATTTTTCTTTGCCTCTGGAAATCATCAACAAATCAGTGTTAAAACATTATTTATTTCTTTATTGTTTTTTTGGTGATTTTCTATAAAACAATTCTGTTCTTTTTTTACAACATTTTTCCACATAATACCTCATTCAGCCAGATTTTTCATTGAAAAAATCAAGTCTTCATTCTTGCTTTACACTATTTCATGATATTTGTCAAACAGAATTATTCATTTAATAAATTTGTATCTCTTCCATAACTACTTTGTGTTTTTTCCAAAATTACCCAACCCTCCTCGTCAGCACTGCCACTTGGCATTACTACTTGGTCTTTAGGAAGCTGTCAATGATCTTACCTTGCCTATACGCATGCTCACGTTCTTCAACATTTCAAATTTATTTTATTTGTTCAATTTATGTTTGTTTATTTGTCAGTCGTGTGGTTATGGTTCGTGGTTTGCTTTTGACTGTTAAACGAGGGATTTCTCATGTTATGCTTTAGTTGAATTTTATTGTTTGTCCAGCAATCCCGGTTGCCTTGCAGGAAGTGTGGGAGAAGAGAAGGGTAGAACAAGAAGAGTTAAGTAGTTGTGGCAAACATAAATGATCGATTACTTATTTACAGTAATAGCCTTTAAGGAAACAATGTTGTGTTTTCAAAATTATGATGTTGTTTTATTATTGATGAAGATTGTGTTCTTTGACAGGGATGGGGGGAAAACAAATTCATCACCCACAACATGTTGATTTCTCGTATTATATTCCATGATGTTAATATTTTCCTCTTTTTCCATGATTTTTTCCAGGGTCGCATGCCCCTTAGCCGTGGTGTCTCAATGGAACAACGTTTACAAGATATCGCCAGTCTGTTCAATCCCATACCAAGCATGGGCGTCGTTGGTGGTGTCTCTGAAATGTCACCCTACCCACACTATCCCACCCATCCGTACACATATCAAAGTGCTCCACAACATGCTCAATATCCACCACCACCGCCACATCCCCACCATCATCATCATGCCGCAGCTGCTGCAATGTTGCATCCCAATGCTTCTTTGGGTGATTTGTGCTCAACACAGCCTCACTATGGCCACAACTTGGGTTCAGCCGTCTCGTCGAGCATGCATTTGACCAATTCCACACATGACTCCGATGTCACTGGAGTGGGTGCCGGCGCTGTGGGTGGTGCCTATAAAATGGAACATGATATGATGTATTATTCGGTAAGTTTGTCTGGGGAGTATTTTATTTCGATATGTTTTAAAATTTGAGTTTTCTCTATTACAGAATGCTTCTTCTGATATGAATCACACTACCGACGGTTTTATCAATTCAATTTTAAACGATGAAGATTTACATCTTATGGATATGAATGTTAATGACAGTAAGTAAAATATTTATTTATTTATTTATTTATTTATAATTGTATTGTATCGATTACAATAACAGGAAAGCAAATAGTACCTAGTATATAGGGTGAGATAAAAAAACTGCAACAAAGTCAAACGTCATAATTTTTACATTTTTTTTTAAATTTTATTGAATGAAAGCAAAGCATGTCGGAAATAGCATCAAAATTTAAAATAACTTTGGATTTCGAATTGGTCACGTTTGGCACGAATTATGGCCTTCAAACGGCCAATGCAACCGGCACACGCAGCCCGAATGTTGTTCTGCGACATGTTGACCAATTCCCGACGAAGCGCTTGCTTGAGGTGATCGACACTTTGGTATTTTTAGTGCCAACCTTGCTTTCCAAAATAGTCCAGACACAACGGATTGGTATCCGGATTTTGGTGGCCGTTGTGCGCTGGAAATGAAGCGAGGAACCTCATTTTGTAACCATTCGTCGGTGGCGCGTGCTAAGTGCAATGGTGCTGAGTCTGCGGCCACAATGTTTGCTTTAGGCAAGGCTTTAATACAACCTACAGAATATTTTCGCGATGATATGCGATGATATGATTGCATGTAGATTTAATAGTATTCGGTTTGTAGATCAAAGCACCAAACGAGTTTTCAGACCCAACTTATTTGGGGCCTTTGTATAACCTTGCCATAAACAAAAAGACTCTTATATATTGAGCTATATTTCGTATATTGGAATAGAGAGCTTTGAAATTTTATACAAGACTATGGATCACTAGAAGAATAAAATAAAGGTCGTCTGGGTCTCCTTTTTGCTACAGCCATATCAATCCGTTTGAAAAACCTCGAAACATACATTTACATGATTTGCAAGCCTTTTTCGTTTCGAAGAGCTGTCTTAAGTGTTTAAGTTATAGAATCCAAATCTAGCACATTTCCTACATTACGCACTTGACTTAACTCAGCAGTATTCCTTCGTTTAATAACTAAATACCTCTTTTTTAGGACGAAAGCGAAAGAAAAACAGCATTGAAAATAATTTTAGCTCAAAAAAATCGAACATGCGAAAAGCTCATTTGACCCAATGTTTTCCATTCGCATTCAGTTTGGTATCGTCATACAGAAACTGTCCCTAATTTCTGTTCATAAATAATAAATTATGTTACTTCCATTTTAAATTCTAATTCAGCATATTTTTCCTTCAGAAAAACTATATTTAGCTATGATATTTGTATGCAACCTGATTTTTTCACATCAATTCAGCAAATATTTCTATACAATTCAACAAAAACTACCATCGCCATTCCTTACCGTATTCCCAAATCAATAAAACTTTATTGAAAAAAGCTTAATGAAAAAAGCTTTATATTCTGTTAAATATTAGTAAAACTCTTTTGCAATATCAGCAAAATAAGCTTCTGGTCAGAAATGAGTCAAAGCTTTGGCCGAACCAACGGCAGCAAAGTGAACGTGACTCAAGAATAATTCTTTGAAAACAAAAATACAAATGAAAATAAAAGTATTTCTTTGCGCTGAGAACACACAGAACAGAAATGCGGTCTCGCACTGGGGCCCATATAACAACTAATAGCGACGATATCGAACACTCACTCACAACACTATGTGAATGGGCAGAGCTTTTTACGGTTGTTGTTTGCTAAATTGAAAAAAATGATTTTTTTCATTAATTAGTTGAGAAGCACGGCGGCAAAATATTCAAATGGAATAACATAATTGTCAAAATTATTTCTAAATAAAACCAAATTAATTTAAGAAGTGTTTTGTGTGTGCGTGCGTTGCCAACTACAGAGCACAACTTGTTTTTTAATGACGCAGTCGTTGTTGTCCGCGTTTTTTACTAACGGTTAAAATAGTATGAATCAAACAAGTGTGATTGCATTATTGAACCATGCCACTCCTCTCCCTCTCGCCAAAAATTCAAAATTATGCATTTGAACACTTAAACAAATAATATCTCATAAATTATCTATAAACCTATGTGTATGTTCAAAAGAACTAAAGATAACAACAAAAACAATAACATCACATGCTAAAATAAACAAATAAAGAAACGGCGAGAAATAAATTATAACTGCCAGCCCGGCAACCACAGAAAAGGCAGCAATTTTTATAAATCATTTCTTAATCGCAGAGCAAGCAAGTGAGAGTGTGGTTCAAAGTAACGAAGCAACAGAAGAAAAAAGAATAAATAATAAGAAAAACAAATTCAAATTAATCGTGCGAAAAATCAACAGGTGAGAACAACAGAGCATGCCAGCAATTCAATTAATACTCCATAAGAAAGTTAAATGAGAAGAGATCGAGAGAGTGGGAGAGTGAATAAAGGAATGACGTCCATAAAAATATGAGATTCCTTTAAGTATGATGTGTTTTGTTTTTCTTTCTTTTTTGTTGCAAAAACACTGTCATAAATTCTAAAAGAGTTGAATTAATACAGTAACAACAAAAAATAGTGTTATCTATAACTTGTTCACATACATATATTGTAGAACAAAACAAAATTGCAAACAATACAAAATAATTAAATTAAAAAATATATAGGTATATCAGACTATATATACCTCGCGTACAGTGGCAGAGAAAAGAAATGGGTCAATGGGACAAAATATATATAGAAAAAAAAATGGGTAAATAAAATGACACAAACGCCGGAACCTATCTTAACATTTCTTTAAGCGGGATTTTACGAAATAGGATACCTAGATCAACTTTCGATTCGTGTTTATATTTAAGTGTTGAAAAATTTCAAAATCAAAGTCGACTTTTGCTTATGGTAAAGATTGCGAAATCGATTTTTTTGTAACCGATTTTCGATTTTGAGATCATAGAGTCAAACAACTTTTAATTAGAGCAAATAATATACAAGTTTTGGAGAATTATTTAAGTTTTCGATTCTTTTGAAATCGACTTTACCATTAGTTTGATAGAACTACACCACAAAGGATCTTAAATCTAAATCGATTTTAGTCGGCTTTTATTTGAAAAGTCAAAATTTAAAATCGATTATAAACTGATTCAAAACAAAATGTAAAAGACCCCTTTTTTGAAAGCACCTTGGAAAAGCCTAATTGTCATTTTTTAGTTTTGACTTCATGTTAATAAGACAAAATAAGATAAAATGTCCAAAACATATGACTACTTCCCTGAAAATACATTTATCCCGGGTCATTGTCAATGCACCGATCCAAGTATCATGTAGTCGAATATATGAATTATATCTATATTCGAATCATGCTTTTAAAGAATTCTTTTATATAAAGATTATCTATTTTTTAACTTAATTAAAACAATAAACTAACCTTCTATTGATAGGGTACTGGCTGAGCTGGACTTCGTTGAGTTTAAAGAATGTTCCATAAATTTTTAAAAATAAAAATCAATTTATTTATCCCTATTATTATGTTCGCCACTGTAATGTACCCATTGTCATGCTGAAAACGTGTTGATGTTTTTTTTTTCTGTTTGTGATTTTGCTAGGCAATGCGAGTGATCGACCTTGTTACTTTCTTATTTATTATTTATTTTATAATTCTGTTTCATTTGACATTTTAATGATCAGGGGTCGGAAAACACAAAAAATAATACATTAAATAATATTCACAGAACTGGATGAAGACAGAATGGAATCTCAGGAAAGCTTCAAACGCAAGATTGTTTTTTGGTTTGTAACTCTGAATGTCTTAAATGTTAAATGCACTTCCAAAAAATTTGTAAATCTGGCTTAAAACTCAAAATTAGAATTTTATAGATTTTTTCGTTTTAAATCTCATAATAATATATAGATCATCCCAATCCGAATTGTACAGATTTTAAATTGGCTTGACAAAATATCCAATACATTTTTCTTTAGACAAATATCTATAAGTGTCTAATAGCTCAGCAAAAAGTGATCCCTATTATCAAGGGCTGCTAAAGCACATATTGTAGATACTAGTACAACCTATCCAAGCTATATCGGTGTTGACAAAAATAGTTTCCGACTATATTTTCAAAAGCAATTCCCAAGTAGTTACAAATCCCAATACGACAACTGTTATGATTATTGTCGTCATTACTCCATCTTTTTATCTCCTCCTTTGTGTTTATAGTTTAAATTCCAAAGTCTGACTGATTTGATAAACAAAATCCATACTAGGTCCAATTTGGTTATGTACGGTATTTATTCAAGTGTATCCACTGCGTTTAGATCTTGTATACAATATTCTCTACTAAAATTCTATACGCATTTTACCTACTCATGCAGTGACATACAAACATGTATACCTCCATTGTTGCTATATAATTTTGAGTCATTCATTTCGTTGACGATCTTGTTATGTGCTCTTAATTCATTTTTATTTTTCTTATAGATATTTTTCTTTCGTTTATTTATTTTTATTATTATTTAGCATTTAATTTGCCAACACGTTGTTTGTTGTTGTTTTCTGGCCGCTCTCTCTCCGTTCTACTCTCATTTTTGCATAATATCGTCATCGATTTCAATGTTATTGAACCATGCCACTCCTCTCCCTCTCGCCAAAAATTCAAAATTATGCATTTGAACACTTAAACAAATAATATCTCATAAATTATCTATAAACCTATGTGTATGTTCAAAAGAACTAAAGATAACAACAAAAACAATAACATCACATGCTAAAATAAACAAATAAAGAAACGGCGAGAAATAAATTATAACTGCCAGCCCGGCAACCACAGAAAAGGCAGCAATTTTTATAAATCATTTCTTAATCGCAGAGCAAGCAAGTGAGAGTGTGGTTCAAAGTAACGAAGCAACAGAAGAAAAAAGAATAAATAATAAGAAAAACAAATTCAAATTAATCGTGCGAAAAATCAACAGGTGAGAACAACAGAGCATGCCAGCAATTCAATTAATACTCCATAAGAAAGTTAAATGAGAAGAGATCGAGAGAGTGGGAGAGTGAATAAAGGAATGACGTCCATAAAAATATGAGATTCCTTTAAGTATGATGTGTTTTGTTTTTCTTTCTTTTTTGTTGCAAAAACACTGTCATAAATTCTAAAAGAGTTGAATTAATACAGTAACAACAAAAAATAGTGTTATCTATAACTTGTTCACATACATATATTGTAGAACAAAACAAAATTGCAAACAATACAAAATAATTAAATTAAAAAATATATAGGTATATCAGACTATATATACCTCGCGTACAGTGGCAGAGAAAAGAAATGGGTCAATGGGACAAAATATATATAGAAAAAAAAATGGGTAAATAAAATGACACAAACGCCGGAACCTATCTTAACATTTCTTTAAGCGGGATTTTACGAAATAGGATACCTAGATCAACTTTCGATTCGTGTTTATATTTAAGTGTTGAAAAATTTCAAAATCAAAGTCGACTTTTGCTTATGGTAAAGATTGCGAAATCGATTTTTTTGTAACCGATTTTCGATTTTGAGATCATAGAGTCAAACAACTTTTAATTAGAGCAAATAATATACAAGTTTTGGAGAATTATTTAAGTTTTCGATTCTTTTGAAATCGACTTTACCATTAGTTTGATAGAACTACACCACAAAGGATCTTAAATCTAAATCGATTTTAGTCGGCTTTTATTTGAAAAGTCAAAATTTAAAATCGATTATAAACTGATTCAAAACAAAATGTAAAAGACCCCTTTTTTGAAAGCACCTTGGAAAAGCCTAATTGTCATTTTTTAGTTTTGACTTCATGTTAATAAGACAAAATAAGATAAAATGTCCAAAACATATGACTACTTCCCTGAAAATACATGTATCCCGGGTCATTGTCAATGCACCGATCCAAGTATCATGTAGTCGAATATATGAATTATATCTATATTCGAATCATGCTTTTAAAGAATTCTTTTATATAAAGATTATCTATTTTTTAACTTAATTAAAACAATAAACTAACCTTCTATTGATAGGGTACTGGCTGAGCTGGACTTCGTTGAGTTTAAAGAATGTTCCATAAATTTTTAAAAATAAAAATCAATTTATTTATCCCTATTATTATGTTCGCCACTGTAATGTACCCATTGTCATGCTGAAAACGTGTTGATGTTTTTTTTTTCTGTTTGTGATTTTGCTAGGCAATGCGAGTGATCGACCTTGTTACTTTCTTATTTATTATTTATTTTATAATTCTGTTTCATTTGACATTTTAATGATCAGGGGTCGGAAAACACAAAAAATAATACATTAAATAATATTCACAGAACTGGATGAAGACAGAATGGAATCTCAGGAAAGCTTCAAACGCAAGATTGTTTTTTGGTTTGTAACTCTGAATGTCTTAAATGTTAAATGCACTTCCAAAAAATTTGTAAATCTGGCTTAAAACTCAAAATTAGAATTTTATAGATTTTTTCGTTTTAAATCTCATAATAATATATAGATCATCCCAATCCGAATTGTACAGATTTTAAATTGGCTTGACAAAATATCCAATACATTTTTCTTTAGACAAATATCTATAAGTGTCTAATAGCTCAGCAAAAAGTGATCCCTATTATCAAGGGCTGCTAAAGCACATATTGTAGATACTAGTACAACCTATCCAAGCTATATCGGTGTTGACAAAAATAGTTTCCGACTATATTTTCAAAAGCAATTCCCAAGTAGTTACAAATCCCAATACGACAACTGTTATGATTATTGTCGTCATTACTCCATCTTTTTATCTCCTCCTTTGTGTTTATAGTTTAAATTCCAAAGTCTGACTGATTTGATAAACAAAATCCATACTAGGTCCAATTTGGTTATGTACGGTATTTATTCAAGTGTATCCACTGCGTTTAGATCTTGTATACAATATTCTCTACTAAAATTCTATACGCATTTTACCTACTCATGCAGTGACATACAAACATGTATACCTCCATTGTTGCTATATAATTTTGAGTCATTCATTTCGTTGACGATCTTGTTATGTGCTCTTAATTCATTTTTATTTTTCTTATAGATATTTTTCTTTCGTTTATTTATTTTTATTATTATTTAGCATTTAATTTGCCAACACGTTGTTTGTTGTTGTTTTCTGGCCGCTCTCTCTCCGTTCTACTCTCATTTTTGCATAATATCGTCATCGATTTCAATGTTAATTTTTTGTTTCGTTTGGAATGATTGTTTGCGAATGCTATAAAGTTCAGACTGTTAAGCAATCGGGTTCTGGTGTTGTATACGTACGAAAAATATATATACAATAACAAGAAATATTCATATATGTTCGTAGGTATGTAAATAGATTTAGTAACGTGATGGTAGTCCAACGCTGCACAGTGCCACAAAACTATAAATAAAATGCAGATATTTTTAAACAATTATCAGGCTAAAATAAACTCTTGGAACTAGTGTTATATATTGCACCAAGGAACCGATTCAATTGGACCAAATATTCACCGAATGTTAAAATATTTTAAACGCATAGAAGCCGACAATTTGATTCAAGTTTCACATATCATAAACTGATTTAAATAAAATTCTAAGATTGAATATATCGGACTTTAGTTACATATGCAACTAAACAGAACAAAACCAAAATTAAATTTATTGTGTTTAGTCAGTTATCACGAATAATGTGGGTTTATCTATTATCTCCGTTATGGGTGCCTCCACAACAAAGGATTTTGAGTTTTGAGAAAATAAATGTTTAATTCAAAACAAAGTTTTTCGCATCAAGATCAAAATGAACAATTTAGAATCACCTTACGAATGCATAATAATGTATCTGAAAAGGGGAGGTTTACGGGTCGGGTCAAGTTGGAAAATGTATCGTATTTTTATTTATCCGATACTTTTTGGAAGAATTTGACACAACAGCCATAGTTTTCCCTCTTTTTGCCAAATTTTCTGACGCCTGCTTGTTTTATTAAAAACCCCCAATTTTGTGTTTGCGAAACACTGTCTCGCTTGATTTGTTTACTCATTTGGTTCAAATTGCACATTGTTGCCGTTCTTGTTTTTGCTGCCATTATGATATTTTTTGCGCTGTTTACTATTTTTAAAATGCTGAGTCATCATTCTTTTGACTCGTTCGTTCTTTGACGAAAACAAATAACACTCTCAATGAAGAATGTATTGCTCTAAGAGAGAGATGTTTGTTTCATCAAAAAATAGATTTATGGGAGAGGGCACAAGTGAATGTGGTGGATTTGTTAACGGCATCAACAAGTTGTTGCTTTTTTTAATTTCTCAATTTCTTTTCATTTTTTAATAAAAAAAAAAATAAGGAAAAAATTTAAAACTATTTGGCTCAATACGAGAAACATTAATGTGTCGCCGGGCATCCTTAGGGTGTTGGTGTAATTATCATTGAATGGAGCTCATAGAATATTCATTGTTGAATGTTTCCATATCGTGAATGGGGGATTATTAGATGACTTTCCTTTTTTTGGACTAAAGATCAATGGAAAATATACATATAAAAATTAAAATGAATTACTTAATAAAAAATCGCATTCGGTATTATTTCTTGCACTAAATTTGTGCCTATTACAAAGCAAAAAAAAAAAATACAACACAATACCCCTACCTAAGTTTGCTGATAAGAACTAAAAGAATTCTGTTTGGGAGTACGGAGAATCAAAACCACTGTTAGGTATATGGCATAATAAGTGTCACGTACTCACAATCACTTACTCACCTTATTTTTTCTTTTTTGCTTTTGCAAAACAAACAAATTCACAATTTCATATCTTGCATATAAGTATGTATATATATTTTTTACTATATGTACACATATGCGTGGTGTTATCATCAAAACAACAACCCGAATGATGATTTGCGTTCGTTCTGACGAATAATTCGCAATGAAACTGAAATTAAATGGCAATGTTAAATATTTCTGCTGAGTCAGTAACTGAAAACTTCCTTTACCTTGACAGGTTTATTTTTTTAAGTTAAACGATATTCAGTATAGTTTCCGATCACTAGCAACACCTTCCCTACCCACATAAATTTCCCTAATTCAAATTAAAAACAAAGTGAGAAGAAACTAAATATTACGAAAATTTACGAAAACACAGCTAATGTCATGTTCTTTCTTTTGCAGGCTTTTGTCGTATGGTCGATGTCAACAACAGCACCAGCAACAATTCTTCAGTCTTGGGTTTACCCACGGGCACTGGTCATGCCAGTGGTGCCGCCTCTGGAGGTTCAACAGCTGGTTCTACGACTAGCGGTATTTCGATGAGCGCGGCCAGTAATGTAGCCGCCTCTGCTGGCGCACCCGTCATGACAAATGATCTAATGAATGCCACCGGAGCAGCAACTCAAACTGTTGCCGGTGGTACGGATCGTTTAGATGCTTCCAGTGATAGTGCTGTTAGTTCCATGGGCTCGGAACGCGTACCATCTCTATCCGATGGTGAATGGGGCGAAGGAAGTGATTCGGCCCAAGACTACCATCAGGGTAAATATGGCGGGCCATATGATTACAGTTACAATAATAGCGCAACCAATCGCTTAAATGATGGCAGCCGCCAACCACCTGTTGCCCAGAAGAAACATCATATGTTTGGCAAGCGGTTTATGAACGAGCAACCCGCAGCCGCTAATTTGGGTGCTGCCGGATCGGGGGCCAATGGTCCAGCTGCTGGCAGCAATAATGTTGGTGCCCTGGTACATGGTGGCCCAGCACATAGCATTAAATATGAATATGAAGCTTATCCTCCTGTAGCTGGACTACATGAAAATATGAATGGTCATGGTTTGGACAATGGTGCAATGGGTGGACCGGCATTGAGCAAGGATCATCATGGCTATGGTCCCGGAGCCTATTCCCTTGATTTCTCCGTACGTACACCTCGCACACCACACGAATTAGTGCAGCACAACCACACGTACACTTTGCCGCAGGGCACCGGATCTTTGCCACGCCCCCAACAGCGTGACAAGAAACTCTCCACTTCATCCTCCACCAAATCCGCCAAATCTAGCCACAATAGCAGTGGCAGCGGCGGTGAGGAGGAGACCTATATGACACGCGATGAGAAACGTGCTCGAGCCATGAACATTCCCATACCAGTTTGCGACATCATTAACTTGCCCATGGATGAATTCAATGAGCGTTTGTCCAAATATGATTTGAGTGAAAATCAATTGTCGTTGATTCGTGACATTAGACGCCGTGGCAAGAATAAGGTAGCTGCCCAGAACTGTCGTAAACGTAAGCTAGATCAGATTCTGTCGTTGGAGGATGAGGTGAAACAGGTTCGTCGTCGCAAAGATGAATTAAATGCTCAACGCGATAGATTATTTACTGAGCGTAAGAGAGTCTCCAATAAATTCAGTGCTTTGCATAGGCACATCTTTCAAGTAAGTAGAGCTAAGGGCATTTACCTCTTATTTTAGCAATTTTTATATTGAGAATATTTGATATCATCTGCTATCATTTATTATCCCTTGCTGTATATATTTTCTATTAATGGAAATAGTTATTGGATAAACTATCCGTTGATGGAAACGTTATTCATTGTGGAAAAAATATCCGTTTATAGAGAATTTTTTTTTAATGGATAAGCTATTTAAGTTTTTGTACATAACTAAACTTATATACAGTTTTTGCATTTATTAATTTCGTTTATTTCTTCTCCTTCATTTTCAGTATTTACGGGATCCCGAAGGCAATCCCTGCTCTCCCTCGGAATACAGTTTACAACAGGCAGCTGATGGCTCAATTTATCTCTTACCAAGAGATGCTGCCAATAAAAATGACACCAACAGCGCCGTTGGACTCCTAAACGGTGGTGCTGGTATTGGCAGTCCCTTAAATGGTCATTCACAAAGCATGCCCACAGCCGTGGGACACCATCACTCCGCACATCCAGCGCCTGGTGCTGGTGGTGGTCATAATTTGCATCAAGCGCCACACCAACAGACAGTCCTGCATACAGCAGCTGGCTCATTGGCACATAGCCACGTGCAACACCATCACCAGCATCACCATCATCAGCAACAACATAACCAAACGTCACAACCACAGACAACAACACATGCCCATGGTCATCATACTACAACACATGGAGGTAGCCAACAACAGCAACCGCAAAAAGATTGAAATTTATTGTGGCAACACTATGCAGCGCATTGGTTTCAAATACATCCTCCTTCACATCAGCAAAATCATCATCATCATCATCCTCGTTTTTCACAAAACACACAGTATACTACTACAAATACTATTACTAAGACAAGCACTTGTACTTTAAGCTGTCAGCATCATCACCGTCATCAGCAACAACAACGGAAACGTTATCCTCCTCTTCATAAACAAGCGAAGCCTGGAAATGCACATTTCTGTATTGACATCATTCATCCTGCTCCTACACATCATTATCATCCATCTCATGGGCATTATGAGTCTACTTACTATTGATTATTTTTTTGTTTATTATTTTTTTAAAACCACATCTATTATTATATTAATAACAATTCAGGGGACTTTTTTTCTTAATAATTTTTATTGTTAAGCAAAAGGATTATTGGGATTATTACAAAAAAATATATATAAATATATTAAAAAAAAAAACAAAAAAATATTGAAAATGTTTTTAAATATTAAGGAGTTTTTTATTTGATTTTAGAAATTTATAAGTGTATAAACATAAAAATACACATTAAGTATGTATGTATGAATGTGATTTGAAAAAAATGAAAAATTGTAAAAAATCCTTTTAAACAAATATTTTTTTAAATTATAACACTAGAGATCATACATAAATACAAACAAAGCTGTTTTGTTAGGTTTCGTTTACACTAATAAACGAAATCTTTTCTTAAAATAACTCGATTTTTGCAAACAAATGAAACCATCTAAAATGAATTCAATGTTTTCGATTTTCCTAGACTTTAACACAAAAAAACACACATACATAAACATACATACATGATAATAAAACATATATTGTGATTATATCACAAACTTATATATATATGGGAATGTATGATTGTAACGATTTGAAAGAAATAAAAATACAAAAAATATGTTATAATCATTTGTAGGCCTGTAAACAATTGTATGTAATTAATTTGAACAAAATTATTTTGAATTTGTGATAAATTATGGTTTTTATTATAATTTAAAATGTCTAAAAAAAGCTTTTTGTTTACAATTTATTTCTTTTAAAATTTACTTTTTGGTTAAATGGATTATATATTATAGAATAAATGTTTTATTTTTAGTAACACAGTGCTAGGATTTAGAAAAAACGGAAAGCAGAAATAAAGAATAAGTGATCATCCAGTCCCTAAATTTAAAAGAAAAATTGCTAATATATCTCGAAGAAAGAGAGGTGTTATGACCTTCAAACTTTTTTCAATATATCGATTTCTTAAATAATTACGTCCCAATACTTTAGCTCATGTTAAGTCGACTTTAGATTGTACACATACATATTTTTCAAAAAATATATCCTTTTTACAAATGTATATATTATTGTAATTTAAATTATTTTTAAAAATAATACAACATTTTTCATTTTTTCATGAAATTTTTGATTTTTTATTTGAACGAATAGCCTCTTTGCTCAAGATTTTATTTAGGTGATTGGAACGACTTTTAAATAAAATACATACTAGGGCTTTACTGATTCTTGTGTGTGAGATTGTGTGTTTGTCTTTATCCATTTTGCCTCATTAGCTTCCCTTTTATGTCTTAAATCTCTCTGTGTAAGACGCTTAAAAATGTGGTATTTTTAGATGTGTCATATTACAAACTTTCAAAGTATATAGCAAAACATATAATACTTACTTCGTGGTAACTGCTAACGCCGGATGGTTTTCTGAATACTTGCTGTCATACCGATGATTCCATTTGTATATGATTACCCCAAAAATCTCGTTATTAGTTGAATATTGTGTTCTCAATTTGGCCACGAAAGTAATTTTCCTAATTCAAAACATGTTTCCGTCTGCTGATTGTTGACACATATTTTTAATACTGTCCCAGAGACGATACCATTTTAAATTTGATGAAAACTGACTTAGATGCAGGCTTCCAAATATCTATTTCTACTAGGAGTTTACACCACTGATATATTAGAGATGTTGCGTCTGCCAAATGAAAAATTAAACGATATAATCTACGGTATTCAGTCCACGATCAACGGTGTTAGCTTTCTTTAAATCATTAAGTTGTAAAATCCTATTCTAAATGTTCACTTAAGGTGTATTTTTTTAATGAGAGCTAAATTTTTAATTCGTGTAACTATTTGATTTAAAAATTGGAAATATGTAGAGTTTTTTACTACTCTCAATGCTGCCAAATTTTAAGTGCGTAGTGTTTTTTTTTTTCAAATTTTTCAAAATGCTTAAAAAAGAATTTGCTGATTTTTTCTTCTCTGTGTTAATGCTGAAAAGGAATGGTTGGGATATTTTACAATTGACTCGTTGTATTTACAGTTTATGGTACCTCTCAAGCCACAATATGCATCACATTTCGATAACAGTTTTTATTACACATTATAAATACCTAAATTTAGAAATTCAGAAAACATTTAAACATCTTATATCCAAATTAAAATTCAAGGGAATATCAGTGAACATTTCAAATTCCGATTCGGCTCAAAGAAAATTGCACCTCCTTTTTACACGTGGTACCATTTTATGTTGTAATATAGTCGTAATACTCATCTGATTATTATAAATACCTAAATTAAAAAATTCAGAATATCTAAGAATCTTTTATCCAAATTAAAATTCTGGGGACTATCAAATTCCAATTCGACTCAAAGAAAAATTCACCTTTTTTTACATGTGGCACCATTTTATGTTGTAATAAAGTCGTTCAAAACTTATTCTGTCAAAACTTAAACTTATTCTGCCAAATTTGATACTAATAACCAGCGACTTAGCTTTAGTACAACTTTTAACCGATTCCAAAGGTATACTGCGATACATAAATCCGATAACGTTTATATTTCACATCATGCTTAAAAATATACCTTGGAATCGTTTCATATTTAGTTCGCAAAGGAATATTGAAACATATATATGCTATATATGGCTGCATTTATAGAAGTTTTGCTCTTTTTTGATTATTTGTTCAAATTATATTTACTTGCAGTATAACAATTGCTCCAATTATCCACGACTGACTACATATAATGTAGAAAAAAAATTTTTAATATAACCCAATATTTTGAAAGGGTTTCAAAATTGTCACTTTAAAAAAGGTAGTTATTTTTCATTGATTCCCCTGAGTTACATCACCAACACGTTTTGTTTTCTCCATTTGAATTCTGTAGCACTGTGTTATGCATAGTTTTGAGCTTTTATTAAAAAAATGGATATAGAACTACATATAAGATCTATATAAAATTTAACTACTAAGCACAATTATTAAAATAAAAAAAAGGAACTAACAGATTATTTCTATTCTCATCCTATCCTTTTCTCGCTCTGTAAATAAACTTTATTAATAATACAAGGAAAGTACTTTTTTGAATATTTATTAACAAATAATAAGTAGACGGTTTATGCTAAGCTATAATATTAATTGTTATTAAGAAGACACACAAGCGAGCTATGTCTAGCAAGACCACAACAAATTTTAATCAACTGAAATAAAAAGTTTTGTTTAATCGTGAAAAAATAATAAAGTTTTTAATAGTTTTAATTTATGCTTCTTTCTTGTGTAAGTAAAAAAAAAAAATGAGAAAAAAATCGTATAAAAATATAATCAATTTAGGCATTTACTTTTACATTTAATATAAAGTATAAAAACAAAAAGCAAAAAATAATAAACAACTGTATATGTTTTAAAATCCGTTTCTTTTTTCTTTGATAACAACTCGCATCCAATATCTGCTGTAATATATATTTTGTGTAGTAAGGAAATCATTATCAAATGATCTCCTTAATGGTACACATAATTTTATATTTCTTGTTTTTATTTCCTACTGTAAATATAATACATTTTAAATAGTATAATTACAATAACCAGTTCTACTTAAGTATACACTTTATGCTATAGGAAAACAACCATAACACTTTTTTATTTTTAAAGCGCAAAAAATACCATATATAATGAAAAATATTATAAAATGTAACAAATAATAATATGTACTTTACCTATATGTATAATGTATATTACAATAAAAATCAAACAAAAATACACAAAAAACGACAAACTAAAACATAAAAAAAATTGTTTTTAATTCTTCTCTTGGGAAAATGAATGTCGAGCCCATGTTGTAACATTTTCTTTTTATCTAGATTTCCATTTTTAAATGTAAACCTTTTTTAACATACCAATCAGAAAATCCGAGGGCAATGAAAAATATTAACAAAAGAAATCTCCCGGTACATCCGACCCTCTAATAAAATGGCATGGATTTTTATGCCACCTAATACAACGTCTCTTATTCAATCTATGGACCAGAGCGTAATGTCAACTTATTGAGTAAACAGACCAAAATGATAAACACTCTATGGAAGACTGTTGGAAACGTTTATCTTGGGAAGAAGTTAAGGCGAATGGGGTTGGCGGCAATATGGCCAGAACTTATTAATCGGAACAGAGATAGTGTCGATGATGTTGCAAGCGTTGCTAATGATTTGGCTGGTTTAGCTAGAGAAGTCGAATTCGAAGGAATGAAATAATGAATGATGATAAATTAGAAAAATAAATTTAATATCGCCAATTTTTCCAAAATCATGCCGGGTTTTCAGTTTCTTGTTTTTTGAAATTGTTTCGCTTTAAATTAATTTTAGTGTATTTGTATGGAAAGAGATCTCAAGAGATGCGTCCGGACAAATAAATCGTTTCTCGTCATTACAAGTTTCATTTAAATATGAACTATCCGATAATCAAAAGGACCATCTCTATTTCATCTTTAACGTAAAGTTTACTGACTTCATGTTGCTATATTTTATATCGATAATATAACAATAACAACAAAATTTACTCAAAGAAAAAAATAGATAACGCAAGTTGTTGATTTTATATTGAAAAACTGGATTAAAGATTTATTTCTCAAAATTGAATACAAAAAAAAAATAGTTTTGTTTTGAATTGAATAATTGTCTATATCTGGTTTACATCAAAAGCAATACACTTCGAACCTGAATGAGCCTGGATTCAGCTATATTTGATCAGCCTATGACAGTTATACTTTATCGAACTATACTAGATTCTATAGAACTATGAAATAAAACAATTTCTTTAAAGATATGCATTTGATTTTATTGAAGTTTTCATCAAGACAAAATGATATAACTAACAATTGCTCTGTTCAAGAACCTGCCAAAATCTCCTAGTTTTGCAATTTTATTCGATTTTATAAAGGAAAAATTGTAGTAAAAATTTTTACATTTTTGTAGTTCTGGAACAGAGCCTGTTTTTTACCAATGGCAAAGACGAGACAAAATGCATTTTGAGCAAATTGTTTGTGTTTACAATACATACATAGAGTAACAGCTCATGGCAGAGACATGTTAAAATAAAAAAAACACAAATACAGAAACAAGTAACAAATAACAAATATAAATTTGAAAAATCCAAAATTTTGCTTCAAAAATTCTATTCTAAAGACCCTTCCAAAAATTTGCATATTGCCTTAGCCGTTTAAATCAGTTAACATTGGTAACTATGTTGATATCGTAACAACAGAGGTATTTTCACAGGGGTACCCATATTTTGACTCTGTCTTGTCCCATCTTTATGTATTTGCTTTGTTCCTCTTTGAAGAAGCCAGCCGATGACTCAAAGGTGTAGGTACATAAGAAGCTTGAAGTCATGGCTAGGCATATTTTGTGACATTTCATAAAGGGATTACAGAGTCGCACTAAAATCCTGCTGTCGTTTTCCATTATAATTTGACAGCTTTTTATGTACTTGCACCTTAAGTCAGTCAAAAAACCATGTTATATATTCTCACCTTTATCGCCTAAAAGCAGCTTAAACATCGCATTCTTGTACCTTTTTTCGTTATATTATGCACAAATAAATACAAATAAATGAATAAAAAGGCGTGAATGCACTTTATATAAGTTTGTACCATGGTACAATATTAAGATAAGGTAGAGCTACCAGCTGAATCCAGGCGTTTCATACATTTTCCCCGCTCTTTAACTATTTTTAAAAATGAGGAAAATATTGAATAAATGAAACTATTTGCATGCAAATTTGACAGGAAGCGGGCATAGCTTCAGGGCTGTATTTCTATTGTTTTACGAAACTGTTCTACCTCCTTATTGTACCATGCAAATATGGACGCACAGTCATGTATATCTCTCCTTTCCACTAAAATTGATTCCACAAGCCTCTGACTAAATTTTTCTTAATTTGTCACATTTAGGAATTGTGAAAAAGAAATCTTTTACGTCACCATACCTTTTGTTGCAAATAACACAAGATCGCATATCAATTGTTTTAATTCATTTTTTCTATTCAATACAACTACATGTAATATACAATAATTAATTTCAACTTATACAAATACATTGTCATGTACGTTAAAATTCCTAATTAAAAAAAGAATCAGTATTTAGGACGATTTTACCTTCCTTATTTTGTAAATATTGAAGATTTTTGCATGTAAAGGAAGAGACATGGTATAAGAATACACAACTGCTGGGACAATGAACTGTCAAACCAATTTTAGAATTGACAATTTTGAATGAAAGTCTATTGAAATTTTTGAAAATAGTTGAAAAATGCATATCATAACAACCCCCGATATGTGTCGTATAAGAAAACATATAAAAATCTTATTTTTCTAAAAAAATTTAAAAATTTTTTACATATCAATGTCCCCTCTATTCTTCTAACATGGGAACTGGGCTAAAGAATTCAGTTTACAGTGAATTGGCAAACGGATGACGAAGAAGAAATGACGACATATTGTCATTGTGAATGGATTTGGTTTGTTTATTGTCTCGATATATTAAGTGTGGCAACATTGAAATCTGCAATCAAGTCTTTCGATTCTATATCCTCCTTTGAAGGCTGAAAGAATTTGCAGATTGCTTTTTTACTAAAAATAACACAATATAATGGAGCAAATGGAAGTTGATGTCGAAATGACAGCCAAGGCAAGCACATCTGTGGCACCTTCTACATCTGGCGATGGCAGTAACAAAGCACCAAATGCCGGTACAAGTGCAACTACGTCCTCATCTAACGTAATGGCTGATCCCAGTACCGTTCCATCGGTAACAATTTCATTACATCCCTTGGTCATAATGAATATATCGGAACATTGGACACGTATACGGGCCCAGGCAGGTGAAGTTTGTCAGGTATATGGTGCTCTGATTGGCAAGCAAAAGGGTCGCAACATAGAAGTGATGAATTCGTTTGAATTGAAAACAGATGTGGTGGGTGATGATGTCTTCATCAGTGTGGATTATTATATGGCCAAGGAGCTGCAATATAAGCAGGTATTTCACTATCACTTTTTAATTCCAAGCAATTTATTATATATAGTTTCCCTGCTGAATTTAGGTTTTTAGTGATATGGACTTTATTGGCTGGTACACTACCGGTGAATATCCGACAGAAAAAGAGTTGGCCATACATAAACAAATTTCTGAAATGAATGAATGCCCCATAATGCTACAATTAAATCCACTGTCACGCAATGTTGATCAACTGCCATTAAAACTCTATGAATCTGTTATTGATATTGTGCGCAGTGAGGCCACAATGCTATTGGTTCCACTCACCTATACTTTGGCAACTGAAGAGGCTGAACGTATTGGTGTGGATCATGTAGCCCGTATGTCTACAAATGACACTGGAGAAAAATCATTTGTAGCTGAACATTTGGTAGCACAAGAGAGTGCCATTAAAATGCTTAAGACTCGCATTAAAATTGTCCTAAAATATATTCAAGATGTCGAAGCTGGAAAGTTATCAGCGAATCAAGAAATTCTGCGTGAAGTTTACGCCCTCAGCCATCGATTGCCTGTAATGCAAGGCAATGCCTTTAAAGAGGAGTTCTACACGCAATGCAATGATGTTGGTCTTATCAGCTATTTGGGAGCCATGACAAAGGGTTGTAATGATATGAACCATTTTGTAAATAAATTCAATGTGCTCTACGATCGACAAGGCTCGGGCAGACGTTTGCGGGGTTTGTATTATTAAATGAACAACATTTCAAATATATTTACTATGTCAAAGAAAGGTATTTATTAACCACCCTAGGATATTCATCAACTTGTGTCACCTTAGGTACCTCATCTCTAGTATGGTCAACCAGACCATAGCTGAACACAAATTAAAAAGAATGAAGTGAAGGAAGTTTTTTAATTTTCATTATCGCAAAAACGAAATATAATAAAATGTGATGTAAAATATATTTTCCAAACATTGTTTCTATTATAACAAAGGGTAGTTGTAACTCTTTGTCAAACCAATAAGAACATCCAACTTTATATATTCCGAAGAAACTTTCCTTGAGAATATTCGCGATTGACCTGTCTTTATTGTTTTCAGCGAATGTCAACATTCACTTCCCAGTAAAACACGATTTTGGTTGCAAGATTTCACATCAATAATTTATTTAATGAACCTCTGTGTTTCAATTTCACACGAATTCAATCACATATTTTTACAAAAAAAATTTACTGTAAGTTTAGTTGGTAATTTTAGTTACCTATTTCTAAGTACGTTTGATGTTACTCAAAACTGATATATTTTCAAATTTCATTCTACTATTAATGCTATGAATTTTTAGCCAATGAGGAAGAGGAGCAGAAAACTGTTTCCAATAAACAAGAAAATATTACAAAAATACCTACATTCAATAATAATTAATATTAGTTTGTCAAAAATTGTTTATCGTACTCAATAATTCAAACGAAAAATTAAAACAAATGCATTTTTTTCTTAACAAAAAGTTTACATTTATATTTTATACGTTCCTAGAAGTTCCATGAAATCGCTTACTGAAGAGCGAACAATTTCATCAAATAATTCAAATTTGCATTAAATGAAACTCAAGCGTACATACAAACTATCAGATACACGTAGAGAGGTGAGCAGGTATATCAACAAGGTTTTTGTTTATTATAGCGAAATTTTGTGGTAAGTCTACATTGAACCTGTACAAAACAAATACGAGCTGATATCTATTTTAATGTGCAGAAGACAGGTTCATCCTAAAAACTAACTTTTCTCTTACGTATACTTATGTATATTAAAACCTTTAAAGTTGTAAACTATCTCTCAACACTCTTCCCACGCTTTCTTCGCCGAAATGAGATTTGTTTTCTTTTTGGCAATTTTTGTTTCTGTGTTGACCTGAAGTTGTCTAATGATTGTAATCCTCTAATTTAAGCGTACCAGCGAACTGTTGTAAGAATTCCACCTCCAAGGGATGCATTTCTTTGGCAGGTATAACAACAGAGTGCAATGGTCCTCCCATATCGGTGGTAGCCATGTCTCGTAGCGTCCTAACCACAATTTGTTGATTGTCATGACCGACACGAGCCAAACCGACACACAAAGATTGGTCGTTAAGTATAGTATTGCGCTCCAAGGCATCCTTCTTGTCGACAATGGCCAGTAGCTGCTGTGCGGCTTCGGCCACTGTCATAAAACGAGGTGGCATATATTCCTTTCTCCCCCGCATTAACGATTCAAGTGTGGGTTCTTTGACCTTGATATCCAGCAGACACAACGTGTGCATATTGTGCAAACGATTCAGCTTAATTTTATCATAAAAACTATCAGGTTTCCAGGTTTCATCCCAATAGGGAATAGATACAGTTTCGCCAAATTTGTAAAGCTGAAGGCCACAACAACCGATGGCATTCATAATGGAGGCATTGTGTATCACTTTATAGGGTATTTTCTTTTCTTTGGCTCTTAATATGAAATCAGTGTGCGTGGTGGCGCCAAAGGGATCTCCTACAACCAATAATGCCACATCTTCCTCTGCAGAGCCAGCTAATATTTCATCAGCACCCTGTTCGACAAGGTCACGATCGGCCAATAATACTGGACGCCCATAAAATGCTTCCTATAAAATTCACAAAACAAAAACTGGGATTATTACTCCAGTCTCAAACATGAATTTCACGAACACATTACCAATTCCTCTTTGGGACAGCCCAATATTGATGTATACATTTCCAAATATACACGACTACATTGTTTTACAATTTCAAGGCCTTTCACTGTAATGTCCTTGGGATCTCCTAAGCCCAAACCAATTAAATAAAACATGTCAATGTTTTTACTTTTTGTGCTGCTGGCGTCGTCTAAACAATTTTCACCGTCGCCCTACACCACTATACACTTGTACGCCTCCCTGTCTCGTACAAATATCTGGCTACCAATTGCACGCTTATGGGATTATATCCTATTTTTGTGCGAAATTTAATCTATTGTTGTATCCTTTTCGTTTAACTACACGTGCCAGAATAGGCTTGCTTGTTGCTTTTAGGGATACAAAAATCGACTTGTGACATCGATTAATCAGCTTGTTTTTTGCAAAACATATAGAGATGACAAAGACGATTCTGACGAAGCAGACAAATCGATTAATGAATTTGTACTGACGATACAAAAATTGCGATGTTGATAGAAAATCAACGGATTTTTATAATTTAAGTGTAGTTAAGTCCATGGTACCATGGCGCTTTTACAGAAGGTAGAACAAAGTTGCCCCCTAAATACAATTTTTTACTTTGGTGTCCCTATTCTGTCAAAACATATACACAGTTTGTATATTGCCCTGTTCCAATATATTGCAATTTTTTCGATATCATAAAAGAAAAATCGGTTGTCATAGTAAAAAGATACAATTCTTGCAGTTCTGAGCAGACCATATGCGTGTATTTTTTTAATCCAAACGAAAATAATTTGAAATTATTTGTGGATTTCTCCCAATATAATAATTTTGGGAAAAAATAAACAAAGAAAACCAATTGTTGCATGTTCAAAAAATATATTTTAAATATGTACCCTCACCTTAAGACTCCAGTACATAGTTGCATTCCTAAGTTTCCTAAATTTATAAAATGTTCAAACTGTAACCAAGGCATACATAAGGTCGGCCAGAAATACCATCTCACAACCAAGTTTTCCATGGTAGAAGAATATAGGTAGACGCATGGACACAGCTGCTGGGACAATGAACTGTCAAACCAATTTTGGTATTGAAAATGTTGAATGAACAATTATTTATTTGTAATTTAATTTGTAAAAATTGTTGAAATACGCGAATTATAATAACCTCCGAAAGACGTCGTATAAGAAAACATTTAAAAATCTACTTATATTTGAAAAAACATTTAATTTTTTTTGACATATTAATGCTCCCAAGCGTTGATGAATCTACCTGTATTCTTCTGCCATGCAAGTTTGCTGTCAAAAACGCAATTTATGCGTCTTTCAATCATTATTTTTAAAATATTCTCTTTTTATCTTTCAAAACAATAAATAGATACACAAAAGGTCTGTTCCAGAACTGCAAGAATGAAAAGTTTTTACTATGATAACCGATTTTCCATTTATGATATCGAAGACTGTTGCAAAACTAGTAGATTCTTGAAGATATTGGAACAGAGCAAATATTGCCAGTATTCGGACACACTTTTTTTTTTTTTTGGAAAATTCGAGTAAAAAGGAAAGGATGGAAAAGCTGTGTCAGAGAACTTAAAAACAGAAGAGTTAAAATCCAATTCAAATCCCTGATGATGACTATCGAAGATAGTCGAAATATTGGACAAATAAATTAATATATAAAAAGATCAAATTCGTCTGTTTTTTCTAAATTCTGACCTCGAGCCAAACGAAAAACCGGAAGAAAAAAATTTTAAAATTTTAGCTCTACCTTTCCTTTTTATTATACCATGAATACAACGAATGCATGAGAGATATGAATCCGCCCATTAATAACAGGTGACTTGTTATATTGTCCTTATAAATAAACCGTTTATTGCGGACTTATATTAGGCAAGTTTACTTGCTGCAATGCTTATACAGGACAATTCGTTTTTAGAAATTTTCGTTTTTCACAATGATGTTGCCTTATTCCATTTTTATATAAAACTAATAAAAACGGATTGTTACATGCATTATTGTGATGAAAATCACAGAACAAAAGGTACACACATAGAACAATTGCAGAAGGTAGAACAAAGCTACCCCCCAAATGCAATTTTTTCTTTTGGTGTCATTATAACTTGAAATTATTTCAAATTTGGTTGCAAAATAAATGAGCAGCCCTTTGTACAATTTTAGAATAAATCTGTATTGTCCGACTGCTTCAGATTCTATCTGGTGGAATAACCCCAAAATTGCATTCTTGTTTCGCGGGTTTTTTTCCCAATATAAGAATTTTGTTAAGAAAAATGAAAAATAAACAAAACCAACTGTTGCATATTGTCTTTTTGACACTATAAGACTCCAGCACAGAGTTGCATTTTTCTAGTTTCTTTGAAGTTTAAACGAAGTTTTACGCCCAAATTTTGCATTTATTAGATGGATTTTTTTATTGCAAATTTAAACTCTCGTACAACTACCACATAAATACCTATTGTTTTTTATTTCCTAGCATTTGAAGCAAATTTTGAAGAAAACCAATTAAAATTGTTTGAAATTTGAAATGCCTTCCCATAATTTAATTTTGTTTATTTTTATTTTCAAAACTGTCTGGTCGCCTACGTCACGCAAGTAATTTTTGTTCTTTTGAAAGCAGGGTTAAATATAGAAAAAATAATAGTATTTAAGCACATATGCTTGTATAAAAAAATAAACTGCTTTTTATGACTTTTATTATATCCTGCACCATAGTATGGAGGGTATATTAAGTTTGTCATTCCGTTTGTAACACCTCGAAATTTACGTTTTAGACGCTACAAAATATATATATTCTTTATCAGCATAAAATTCTATGTCGATTTAGCGATGTCCGTCCGTCTATTCGTCTGTGGAAATCACTTTAGCTTCCGAACGAAATGAAGTAGGTTGATAAAATGTTACTCAAATGTTTATTATGTCTGCACGACTTTTGGTATTGATGGCCCGTTTGGTGATGTAGGTCCACGTTTTGGTATAGCCCCCATATATTGGTACCTCCCTTGTTTCGGTATTTTGGTGTTTTAAGCGACATTATTCACCGGAAATTCGGTAGTTGAAGTTCGTAATGGGTACTACAGCCTATGACAGAAAATTATCTGTGCAGGTCCACGTCTTCGTATATCCCCTATATAAATGTACCTCCCGATATTCGGAATATTAATAATTTTAGCTACATTATTCACCGAAATTTTTATTCAAGTTTTGCATTTGAATATTGTAATGGTTTATGACAAAAGTTGCCTATGCAGGTCCACGTCGTCGTATATACCTTAATACTAGCTGAACCCGGTGCGCTTCGCTACCCCTTTTTAATTTAAAATGCATTCAAAATTTTATTTACGAATATATGTTGGTTAAAAAAAAAAACAAATTTAAAAATTAAAAAAGAAATTATTGCACTACTTTCATGCGTAAATAACCAAAACAATTAGAAAAGCAGTAACATGACATACATACACGAAGGGTTTGTCCTTCGGATGCAGTAAACTGCAATCTTTTGAAGTTGAGTGACATTTCTATTGCAATTAGTGAATTCGAGATAGCAACATACTTCGCCGTAATAAGCGCATTTCAAATCAATTGTTGTGTTGTTTTTTAGTGTTAGCCTAAGGCGTTGTGGTTCTTATTAAATCATATCCCAATCTGATCCGATTTAAATATAATTTGACTAATTTATTTTCTAATCAAAATCCCGTTACATATTCCAAATTTCTTTGGAATCGAACATTCATATCGTGTATGGTGCATCAAATACATGAAATGGGTCGAAAATATATATGGGAGCTATATCCAAATCTGAACCGATTTCAATTTAATTTGACAAATTCATTTTGGCTCCCAATTCCGTTACTTATTTTAAATTTCATTACAATTGGAAATATCGTGTTTGGTCCACCAAATACATGAAATCGGCCCAAAATGTATATGGGAGCTATATCCAAATCTGAACCGATTTCAATATAAATTGGGAAATCAATTTTTTAGATAAAATCTATCACACGTTTCAAATTTCATTGAAATTGGGGATACATAGCGTGTTTGGTGCATCAAATGCTTGAAATCGGCCGAAAATATATATGGGAGCTATATCCAAATCTGAACCGATTTCAATATAATTTGACAAATTTATTTTCGGATTAAATTCCGTCATACATTCCAAATTTCATTGGAATCGAACATTCATATTGTGTTTGAGGCATCAAATGAACGAAATCGGTCGAAAATATATATGGGAGCTATATCCAAATCTGAACCGATTGCAATATAAATTGGCAAACTTATTTTTGTTCCGAATTCCGTTACGTATTCCAAATTTGGAGACTGTATCTTCAACGAATCAATAGATATGTGCATATAAAATCTAAATTTTTGGGAGGTAACTCCGATTCTGATGCTATATCTCCAGTTCCAAGTGGAAATTCAAAAATGTATATAGCCTATGTTACTTTCAGGCGATGTTGCAGCATATATGGAAATTTTCAGGAAAATCTATTCAGCGGTTTTCGAGTCCATAAATTACAAACAAACAAACAAACATACAAACATTTTCCTCTTTTATAGATATAGATAATACATTCGGTATTTTATTATTTATTTATTTATTTTTTTTTTTTTTTGAAAATTGCCAAAATCGTTCGATGGTGGAGGGTATTCAAAGATCGACCGGCCGAACTTACAGCTTTTTTACTTGTTATTCACATAAAATTATAGATGACAAATATGATGATATGAAAATAATAATGATAAAGGGATTGAAAGCCATTGCTATGGTAATTGATTTCTCATGATGATGAACATTTAATTATATTTGACGTTGAGTAAATCATGATTTAGCATTTTATCGTAATAAACAAGATCTCGGTGCATTTTTATATGTATACGAATAAAAACTTGAGAAAATATCCATACTTACAGGTTTTTTTGACAAGAATTTAATTTTATCCGTCACATTCTTCAATTCAATTGATTCTGATAACATACGCACAAATACGTATCTAGTATGGATTTACGTTTCTTCAATTTTAAGATAACAATTAAAAAAACTGCCATACAATGGTAGCGAGTATTATGAATGTAGTTATCCCACAGTTTCCGTGTGGTACCATCATCTTCTTTAAAACCATTTATGGCAGAAATTATTTCATACGTTCTATCCCCTTTCCATTGATTTTTGGAGATTCTTGGAAACATTTAAAACAAGGCTTATGTAATTGATGAATAAATATAACATCTTACACCAGTGAATGATTTGTATTGTAAACAATTAAAGGTGCTTACCTTGAAACAATTTTTCTTAAAAAGATTTTTTTTTGTATTTAGATCATGGCCATTTAGTTTCGCTTTAAAAGTCAGAACCAATATGGAATAAAAAAAATAATTTTTTAATTAATACCACCCTTGTTTTTATTTTGTTGGTTTGAACAAGTGTTAATACTCTCATGAACCTACGTTTTACTTTACAGCTTTCGAACAAATGCTAACACCATTAGCAAGGACGCTTGAAGCGTATCTGTCCATCCCCGAATCTATTTACAAGTAAAATAAACAATATTTCTCATAGTAAATCCCAGAAACACACATTTTCATGCATTGTTATATAGGTTATTTCCGCAAAAGTCTTATTGCTGTTATTATTATTATTAAATTTAAATGGAGCCGGTTAAACTTGTTGAAAACTTCATTATGAATGGCTAGGCGAGTATGAACGTTAAACTGTATTTGGTAATACATGCCGTGGCAATGAAGTAAAGCAATTGTTCAGCGCCCAATAAACATCATAAACACTGACTAAGCTAACTAACCGTCTATTAGATTCAAGACATACAGGTAGACAACGGTGGCAGAGGTTTGACTTAACATCCACGCAGAGTCATTGTACCAGTGCCACAGTTTTCTTACACACTTCTCCCAACCGATGAAGTTGTTCAGCGTCAATGCGGTTGCTGCTCTTATTTGATGGGGATGATGGCGATCATAATGATGGTCGTTGTGCACATGTTTACCCCTCAGTCTGAGTCGATTTTGACTTCCAGTAGCTATACAATGACTGCTGCTCCCACTGCTTCTTCGACAACTGCTCCCCACCACACCACGCTTCATACAAAACGTTTCAGACAATTATTTAACGAATGTATAATAAACGAAAGATTTTATTGGTTCAATTTAAACATTACCGTTGAATAAATAAGACGTTGAGTTAAAGGTGGCGGCTAAAAAGAGATAGTGGTGCTCAAAATATTTAAACTTTATTTTGTTCGTTCGTTTTGTGTGCATTTGTTTCGAAAAAGAAGTGAAAATGAATTATTTTTTATTTGGAAGAAAACTTTTATTATTAATTTTTTATATAACTGCCGTACGGCGTACTGAAGCAATGCATAATTATGCCCACATTTATCAAATTCCGAATGGCTATCCTGCAAAAGCGGCCACGAACAAAATGATTCTACACGATATGAAATGTGCCTTTCACCCTATTACAAATAATAGTGTACATTTTGAACATATTATGACTGAAATGTATAACATGCCAATGAAAAATCCAAAAATTAATTCAGCCATGGTTTTTAAATTACCACTGGAGGATGAATTTACCAGAGATAATAGACCAAAAGAGCGTATGATATTTATGGATCGTCAAGAATTTATAGAACCCACATTTCCTAATCTAACAGAATCATATATGGCGTTGCGAAGATTTCGATATTCGAAAAGACCGCTCAATAAAAAGATTACAGAACTCATGAAAATCGAAATGAATGCAATAGAAAGTCAAACCACCCACGATCCATGGTCGAATTTGGGATTGGACGGTTGGAATGGAGATATTGCACAACCAACAACTCAAGATTATCGTCAAAGGTAAAAGAAATAATACTTATTTATTTAAAAATGAATTTATGAAAGAGAAACAAATTAAAATAGTAAAATATGCATTTTCGGCTTCAGTTATTTTTTTTTTTTAATGATTACAAAATAAACACTCTTCAATGATTACAAAATAAACACTCTTGCTACATTTTACATTTTAAATGCCAGGGACGTATGTCTTCTCCAGGGACATTCTGTGTGCACATTGGAAAATCTAAATGTAGGGCTCATGTTTATCACCAATCTTGTACAATGTCAACACTGCCTATTGATTGTGATTATGATTGTATTGTTTCGGGTTTTGCTCAGGATATATAGTCAATGCTGGGATAATTTCTACAACCCTAACATCAAAATATAAAATTCTTGTAAATCCAGATACGACTCAAGCCATGTATTTTTCACGGAAAAGAGTTAAGTACTTGAAAGCCATTTTAGATCGTAAACTAAATATCGGTGACTACATCTCTTATGTCGTCGATGAAATAAATAAGATCACAAGAATCATTTATCCACTAATAAGCCGTAAATCAGGCTTGAACGAGAAAAACAAGCAATTAATAATCGAATCCATGTTTCTACTAACAATATTATAGTGTGCTCCGTTATTTTCCAAAATAGCCAATTAACAACCCCAAAAAATAACAAGTTGATATTCAGTTGACCTTGGCATTACTTCACTTCATAACATATCTAGATTCCAGCTCATTAAATATCAACTATGGAAATCTAGCACAATTTTTGAGACACGGTGTATGTCTTCGTGTTAAACTTACCTCAAAGAACTTGCATTACAACCGGGTGTAAAAACACATCCCATCTAGCCAAACAAAATAGTAAGGTTATTTTTTCTATTTACACAAAAATCAGCAACATATTTAAAATATGAATACTAAGAATAAAAACAATATGTACCAAACCAAGTAGAAAAGGAAAATTGCTCCTTAACCACTGTCAATAGAATCGAAATGTTATATAAATTGATAAAATAAGATAAATACAAAATCAAAGACAAATTATAAAATACAACCGATATATCAGTATTGTTTTTAATAATGACTGTGATATTTTTTTTTTTTTTTTTTTTTTTTTTTTCATTTATTTATCCATACACTATTTAAATCGTTATATGTTCGTAGAAATTCTTTCAAAAAAAGTACATTGTCCGCCAATCGAGATGGTGACAGCAGTGACTGCTGAGAACATCTAACCAGCATAGATGATTTTATATGGTTCACTAAATCCTGTAAGACATTCTACCATTTTTATTGTAATCACAATCCCTAAGCTCTGCGTTCTATCGCATTTTTTTCTACCGAATTTCTTAGTCGTCCTTGACGTTAGCAGTCATGCATATGTTGACATAGAACTAATTTTATCTCAGGTCTCATGACATGGAAATTAATTTTAAATGTAATGTCATCATTATGCAATCTATATCAAGTTAATTATGATAAAGCACATTATCACTCTAAAGAATTTGGATTAATAAAAAAAAAACAGTTTTTACTGCCTAAAAACATGGTCATAAATTTGTATTTTTCGACGGGACGAAATTCTCAAACTGTAACTATTTAACTTTTTTCTAGTTCTCCCTCGAACTCATTAACGGAGTACCCCTATCATGAAATTACCAAAGATTTGTACGGAGGCATATCATCAACTGAATACTTAAGAGATATAAATGAAGCTGAAATGAAGGAAAAACAATCTCGCGACGAATTAAGAAAAGAAATGGACGAGAATGTGTTTATAGCTCGATCAAATGATCCTTTTGGCTATTCGACAAAATGGGAAAAGAGGTATATCGACAAAATTAAAACTATTATGCATATTGACCATTTTATTTTAAATTTTCAGAAATCAGACGAAGCATAAACGAGATGTTTTGCGACTGTATTCTATGTTAAAATGTTCTACGGGTTGTGATCCACTGATCTATAAAGGTTACGGTTGTTATTGTGGATTTCTGGGCCATGGTATACCAGCGGATGGTATAGATAGTTGTTGCAAACTACACGATAAATGTTACGAACACAGTAATTGCCTCTCTTATCTGGAATATTTTGTACCCTATGTGTGGAAATGTTATCGTGGTAAACCTTTGTGTGCTATAGATCATGGAGAATGGGGAGGACCTAATTCATGCGCAGCACGACTGTGTTATTGTGATTTAAGATTGTCGCGCTGCTTGCGGCAATACGCATGTCCCAGCAGACGAGCTGTGTGCAAATCATCTTTAGCGAGAAGATTGCAAAATTTTATTTTTACTTAGAGCTAAGCTTAGATTTGTTACTAACATTGTTGTTATGTGGTTTTAAAATCAATGTTTAATTTATTGTTTTGTATTTTCTGTTTTCTAATCTCTAGAACTTAAGATAAACGTAAACTTTTTCTTGAACCACTTCTTCCTTTAGATGTGCTTCCACCTGTGGAGGAAGATGTGGAACCACTGGATTTAGTGTCTCGAACATCACGGTCCAACTTGGTATGAGGTTCTAAAAAGTTCGGCATAAATTCACGAATATGTTGACATTCTTGTTGTAACGCCAAGATAGCTTTACCTGCAGCGGAATTGGTCTTGGTGACAAATAATGCGTTCTGACACATAAGCAGAATATCCCTTTGTAACTCGTAGGCGGACCGTATGACACCAGATTCTATGTTCTTTTTAATACTGGCAAAGTCCATTTGTTTCAAGCAAACTTCTTCCAATTTGTAGGGAGTTGTTTCATCACTTAGTATGCGTTGAATTGTGGAAGCATACTTACTGTTTTGTAGCACATTATAAATACTGAGTAATGATTTTTTATATGTCCTCAGATCACGTGATTCATCTCGATCACTGGACGCTGGTGAATTTGGTATACTATCGATTACCGGAGTTGAAGAATACCGCCTTCTTGAGCGCTGATTTGTAGTTGTTGTAGAATGATCACTTTGTGTAGTTGCATCATCATCTATCATGGGACTTTCGGAACGATCGCGATCCCTTAATTTGCGTAATGCTGTGGGTCTGGGCGTTAATGAGCCACCAACACTGTTACTGCTTGGAACTGCCATCTGTGCAGAAGGATTCGGCATTTCATCATCAGTCTTCGCATCATGTGGACTCTTTCTTTGATAATGTGAGGAATGTCGCTTTGAGTTAGATAGTTTTTCGTCTTTACGGGTCTGAACGCTTATGTCAGTAGATGACGAGTTTTCATCTGTATCAGCTACGGAAATTGCTGGAGGTGGTTGTAGCATTGATAATGATGATGATGTATCCATATTTCCTTCGATACTATGTAAATCACTTTGAGGTTGTAAAGTATGGGCTTCGCTGCTTTCACCTTGTTCAGGGGGATGATTTGATTCACCTGAAACAAATTTTTTTTTATGAATTTCGTATTCAATACATTATTCAAGTTGACAGATATATATGATATATAAAAAACTTCCTTACCATTTAAATCATCGACCTCATTCCTCTGTTTATTAGGATCATTTTCGATTGTTGCTTCGTTATTACCCTGAGCATCGTCCTCACATTCCGTTTTAATAGTGCTGTTAGCTTTGCTGTCCTCCGTAGAAGGCATAACAAATATGTCCTGTTTTTTATTATCTTCTAAATTGGCAATGCCCACCTTCTCATTGTCCCCGTTGGACTTTTCATTGCCAATTAAAGCTTGCTCATGTTCATCCAACATCTCTTGTTTAATTTCTAGCTTCGTAGATTCACCTTCTTCTGTATCTACTCGATCGGCTGGTTCGTTTTTTGGAAATGCAGACTCCTCCTGTTCTTTTAAAAAACTACTTTCATTCGATGAATCATTAATGCGATCTTTGGATGACTCTAAGGAAGCTACAGCCGCTAAGGGTATATTATCGTTTGAATCATCACTCGATATAATTTCAGTTTTTGTTTTGGTTTTTGCCTCAGTACCACTTTCAGGCTGTTGAATCGAAGATTCTTGCTTAACATCAACTGTTGTATTTATTGAGCTGGGATCATCTTGTTTTATACATTCCACAATATCAGAAACAACATTATCTTCCAATTTTTGTTCCAAATCTCCAACGGCCTCGTCCAAAGCGCTTTCTTCTTCATCTACTCCCTTTAGAAAATCAACCTCCTCGTCGATAACATCTGATACATCAATATCTAGTTCATCAATATTTCCAATGTTCTTAAATACTTCCATCAGTTGTTGTTCTTCATTGGGATCTGTATCATCTATGTCATCTGCATCTTGCGCTGCATTTGTGGTGGTGACCGGCAGATCATCTTCAATATCCATAGGTATTGATTCGTTATTGGAATCATTTGCGGAAACAATTACGGTTTCTGCATTTGTTGAAGTAGTCACAGTGGATTCTAAACCTTTTAGTTCTGTTGACGTAGTCAATGGAGATTTATTTTTTTCCAATAACATAGAAAGGGTGGGCGCTGACTGTGATGGACTTATCATGTTTATTTGATTTGTGTTTGAGTTTAAACTCGAGTCCAAAGGTGGTCCACTTATTGGTCTTGTTAGCAGTTGTATTGCCGAATCACCTGCAGGTATAAGAGCAGGTTGATTGGGATTTGGTATCGAACCACTGGTAAGAAGAGTTGTAATTGTTGGAGCACTGGCTCGAGCTGAAACAGAAGATGAATTTAGGTTACTGGGAGAGTTTGACGCAGTTGGTGACTTTAAAAGTGATGTTAGCAGTGGAGATGTTCCAGTTGGAATTTGCATGGAGTGACTTCCACTTGGTGTAACTGGTTTTGTTGATCCAATAATTTCCTCTACATCCATATCAACAGCAGTTGTGTCAGTTGAGGATTTTAGTGAACTCAATGATGACGAATTGCTGGGAACAGGGCCACCACTTGTACGCCAATTTCTTTGCAATTCTTGTTTGCGCATCTCCCTCTCCCTTAATTGATTTTCCATTTTCATTTCTTCGATTCTTAGCATTTCCTGTTCCTTTTCTATATCTGACCACATTTGTAATATTTCCTCATCTCCCAAACGACCTGTTTTCAAAGCTTTAATTTCAGCTACAATGCTTGCATATTCCTACAAATAGTTGCTATTATGATTTATGTTATCACAATAAACAAATATATTACCTCTTGTTGTCTTCTTAGTTCCAGTTTAATTTCCTGCATTCGTTCTTCTGTTAGACGCCGAACTATGGCTTCAGTGGGAGCTTCGACCGGTGGCGATGATGACAAACTACTTTCCGAAGTTCGTTTCTTTCGCTTAGGCGTCTCCACATCTTCCAATAGATGACCATATTGAACAGCACAATTTTTTTGCGAAAACCAATCGCCAGGACGTGATTGCAAATTGTCTTTAGAATTTCCTCCGCATAGAACTTTTAAAGTGCGACTCACTGACATCCAATTTTGATCACCACTTGACAAAACAGCGGAGGCTAAAGCCAACTGTTCCCTCGTCGACCATTTATCCAATGGGGTACGATTTAGTTGCAGACGCTCTTGAACAGTAGCCATAGTATTGAATTGATTCAATTTATTGGATTTTATTTGTGGATTTGTTTAAAAATTGCCACTTGATCTGATCTTCTTGTTTGGACGTGAGTTGTACATCTGCTTCTGGGTGCGTAGGAAAAAAAAATGAGAGACGTCCCCAACGAAACAAATGAGGAAGGCAAAAAGGAATGCCGATAAATAATAAAGAGAAAGCAAATACCCGAGTACCTCTTTTGTTTACGAATGAGACATGAGGAAAACGCCATCAGCTTCAAGCAATCTTTAAATGACCGCGGAACTAGTTGTCGCTTGCTGTCAGTGTTGTGAACGAGTGATTAATGGGTATTCTAATACTCGTGATTTGTTTGTAGTGTAGTAATGAGCAGAATGAAAACGGCTAACGTCGTATAAAATGGAAACAACATTAGGTGTTTATGGTTTCCCTAAAAATTGTAACAATTGTTACAAATTGTTATTGGAAGTTGTTTGTTTGCAAAAGAGAGCGGTTGCAGAGAGAGAAATTTTGTCAGTTATTTCAGTGAGAGTTTGCAAATTCTTGCTGGACGCATTTCTTCTGCAATCACTTGAAAATATTCTTCTTCTCATTTATCGACATTCAATCAGATTTGTTCATTTCCTAAGAAGCCAGCCAAATATGCGCATTATGTATTCCCACCCTAATTGCTTTTAGAGAACAACTTTTCAAAATGTGAGAAACGTAAATATTAATATGTAATAAGAAAATAAAAGACTATTTCCAACATTTTTAAACAAACGCCATTTGCAACACGATTAAAGGATTCCGGGGAATACATCATATCTATCTTTCTTTTATAGTTCATATATTTATTTTATTACTAATTTCCTTTTTATTTATAAAACTTGATGCTTCCTTTCTTTTAATTCTTTTAATGGGGACAAATTGGTTTGATTTGACAAAAGAGAATAAAACTACCTTACTCTCTCAGAAAGACGTTACTTAAAAATTCCTGCATTAAAAGACACACCTATTTTAAACTCATGGAAGGTATTTCCGTTCGCTTACTTTCCCAGTTACATTTACTTAGAAAGAAGCATGGTACAATTAAAAGGTAAGGTAGAGCATGAAATTGAAAGATTGAAAAGTTAGTATCATATTTTTGAGAGAAAAATCCAGACATTTTATTATCATTTTGAAAATGAGGAAAAATAAGAAAAAAAAAAAAATAAAACAATAATTTTGAATGACAGGAAGCGGGCATAGTCTTAGGACTGTATTTTTGTAGTTTTACGAAGCTGTTCTACCTTCTTATTGTACCATGGAAAGAAGTTGTTGAGAAAAAATATGATTTTCTTTCTCTCGAGAGAATCGAACAGCATCTTGCAAAACAATTGTAAGATAGGAACAAATCCATCAAAACAAATCTGTCCCAAATCTTAACGGCACAAATATTTTGTTGCAGTTTATTTGCTTTTTACATTTTCATTACAAAAAAAAAAAAAGAGAAATACTAAAATTATAAAAATATATTACATGGTAAAAGAATACAGGTAGATGCATAAACGCTTGGGAACATTGATATGTCAAAAAATTTTTTAGTTATTTTTGAAAAATGAGTAGGTTTTTACAGGGTTTCTTATACGACGCCAATTGGAGGTTGTTAAGATATGCATTTTTAGTTTTTTTTTTTTCAAATTTGAATGATTTTTCTTTTAAAATAAACAGTTCTCATGCACCCTCAGACTGTATATAAGAAATACTTTTTATTCCTTCCTCTCCAATTGATGACACCGACAATGGTGTTCCCCAGATGCAGAAGTTTTTGCTGGACTTGACACCTCAGTAAACAAAATAGCTTTTGATACGCTCTTTAATAATTAACCGTTCATCTTTACCAGCGTTCGAATCGAATGCAAAAATTATTAATACAATTCAATATTATGAAAATAAAAGCTGAATTTATTTTATTTGTCATGTATGTTTAGATTGGTTGCGAAATTGAAGAAAGTAGAAAATATGTGAATAGGTAGAATGAATAAAAAATTACCAAATCTGAAGTGATAATAATTTGTATTTAACTATTGAAATTTGAAATTTTTAATTTTCCGGGAAAAATTCAAAATGTCTCCCTCATTTCGCTCTCACCATACCATACAATATATTTAATGTATGTTTTTTTAACTTAAATTTTATGCAATCACTATAAATTTGTTGAATAAATCCAGATTAAGCAATAAATCCTGATATAGTTGTTAGAACCGTATCACGCGCTGTAAACCCAGATAAAAAATACAACTTTCTTTTTTAATATTATTATTTAAATTTTCAGAAACTTATTTATATATATTTTACATAAATGTACAATAGAATTTGTCATTACTTAAATTCATATGAAACTAATTATTGGCTGCAGCATCCATTTTTAAACGTTTGTATTTCATGCGACGATTTTGAAACCACACCTTTACCTGCAATAACACAAAAAATAAAAATAATTATTATTTGTAAATAAAAATACACCTTTTCCAGATGTAATTCGAATCATTTTTGTCTGAAATTCGAGATTTCATATTTTATTCGTAATATTTTAATTGAAATTCAACAACACCATTTGTTACTCTTAACATTCCATTTTTATTTCAAATTATTTCCATTGTTATTCTAATTTGTCAATTTTTAATTCGAATTATTTCATTTGGAATTCGAATTATTCCATTTGTAATTTTATTTTGCAATTACAATTAATTTCTAACACCCTCGATACATCTCTTATTTGGCAAATATGTATCTTAAAATAAACAATTACATATTTCCCTTGGCGAATTCATATGTATGTGTGCCTACTATGAAAATGTGACTTTGACACTGTAGTAGCATCAGGGGATGTAGCTCAGATGGTAGAGCGCTCGCTTAGCATGTGAGAGGTACGGGGATCGATGCCCCGCATCTCCAATCTGAATTTTTATTTTTTAATTTAAAAATGCTGAATCAATAGTTTTTCTCGATTATTTACCTGTCTTTCTGTTAAATCTAAGGCCACGGCAATTTCATATCTTCGTAAACGTGTCAGATAGTTGGCATGCTGAAACTCTTTTTCTAATGATTTTATTTGTTCCTTGGTAAATGCTGTTCGCTCCTTGCGGCTAGATGATACAGTTGGCGGTAGCAGTGTGTTTGTAATTTGTAAAATTTGCCTTGAATCCGTTGGGCTTGCTATTTTTTCTGGAAAAGATTATGTTGATTTTCTAATTAATTCAATATCCATAGATTTTTAGTAGGCTGTTTTTATAGAGGTCTTCCCTCTATACAGAACATTTAGAATATATACTGATCCTTATGAGATCTTAATTGCTAGAAGAAGTTTTAGTAGGTTGTTTTAATAGAGGCTTTCTGTCTATAGAGAACATTTATAATATATACTAACAATTTCGATAGTTATGTTTTAATATCTGTATAGAACCACAAATATTCACATAGTTGAAATTTTAATTATGTACTATTATGCGAATGCATTTTCTACGCAATATGAATCCGAAACAAATAATTTTAAATCATAACTTCAAACAATTAAGGGGCAAGAGTCATCGCTTGGACTTTTCCTAAAAGAACAAACGTGCCGATATTTAACTCAGTCAACCTAAACTTCTTTGTGATTTTACCAAAAAACCCCTTAACAACATATATTTATGCATGCATATCTCGGCTCGGTTTCATTTAAAATACATTTTAAGTAATGGTGTACGTATTTGGAGAGCTTAAACGTTTGAAATTCCTCTTTATAGTGAATTCAACATGTCGTTTTTTATGTTTACGTTTTAATAAAAACCCCACATTTTCTTTTCCTTAAAAATTGAATTTTATTCTTATCAAATATTTGTTATTTCAGTTTTAGATTCCAGCGAACAACAAAACGTCGAAATTTTCTGAAATAAATGAAATATCATTTGTCAAGTCATTCGCGCCCAATTGACACATTCCTGGAACCGGGTCAATGTGAAGCATTCTTGTGTTTCAGCTAATTATTTAGTGTCTAAATCGACATTTCTTTTTTTTTAAATAAACAAATTTTGTTCGATACACTCACACGAACACATGGGGGGTTTTGATTAAACAAATAGTAAAATAACATCCACCCGCCATCCACAAGGTGAGGGTTTGTTTATGCCATTCGTAGATTTCCAATTCTTTCCAGTATTTCCTGCACATGCGCGGTGAAGACATGACGACACCTGTAAACTAGTGATGGAAAATGTACTTAAGTAAAAGAGTGCTAATATTAATGAGAAGAGTTCTTTTAAAAATTATAGTCTATTGCACTTTACTCCCCATTTGAAATATGAGTTAACATGAGTCCTAAGACTTAGGACGAATGATTGGGTGTTATTAATATTTAATATTTCTCCTTAAAAGTACTAGGAAAAATACACCCCTGTACTAGAGTCTTATTGAGCCAAATAGACTTTTTGACAATTAGTTTCATATATTTTACATTTTTTTTAAAACAATTTTATATTAGGGATATCCATAAAACATAAATGGGATTTTTATAACAAAACGGAGTCCAAAGTGGAAGGACAAAATGTATTATTTAAAAATTGTAAAATTTCTTTATTAATCAAAACCATGGTAAAATGAACAAGGTAATTTCATTTGACAAATCGGTATTGGCAACCATTTTCTTATATTGCAAGTCATCTATCATATTCTAATTATTTTAAAATTGATTGCATTGCTTTTTGCGCAAGACTAATGATTTTTTTTTGCAAAATTAAAAAAAAGCAAGTCTAACGTTTTCGTGTTTTTGTAAAGAAATGTGTCTATGGACAAAATATACTAAAAAATCGTATCACTTCACTTTATCGGTGATCTGCATTGATCTCGCAATTCTTATTTTATGTTAGAGTATAATAGTCAGGAATCTCAATCTGTAAAGCTGCTATCAGACAATAAGGGTTTTACATATGTAGTGTCCAAGTTTCCATGTGTAGAAATTGCACATATCGTGTGATACATGGATGATATTTCAGTTGTGAAATACATGAGCCCATCGATCACAGCAAGCCCTATTTTCATCAGAAAAATACAATTTAATAAAAAAGTGCTGTTTGTTGTGTGAAAATATAGAAAATTAAATTTGTAAAACCCTTATCGCCTGACAGCAGCTTTTTTGCCTCATGAAATTAAAAATGGAGGTGGGATTATGGTCAGGTGGGATTATGGTCATAATATTTAGGGGTTGAAAATTGAAAGCCTTCCTCTTATGTATTCTCCCTTAAGCTTGATTTAGAAAACTGATTTCATTTCGTTTTTAATTTTATAAATTTTCATTGACTTGGTTCATTGGTTTTAAAAAAATTCAAAGCACAAAAGTCCAAAACAACTACTACGTCTTTATAAGACAATATTCCATTTACATTTGCTTGACGCTAATACAGCACTAAAACCCAACCCTAGAGTTTTTTTCACAGGCAATTTTCCATATTTTGACAGAAATTTTCTTCTAAATTACATTCTTTGAAATTACATATGTACTGTACATTCAATTAGCTTGGTACTAATTCCATCCCCCAAAACAAACCGTCGAAACTCCCATGTCAATGAAAAAATACAATTGGTACTACATTTTCCACTTGAACTCATCACTGATTCAATTTGGGATTTTGTGGATAATATACAAAAGAAATTTACAGAATAGAAAAATGAAAATTTAAGAAATCTTTGAATTAAAATTCGACAGCGGACCGAACAGACTCGAATAGTAAAGTGCATTTGTTTTTTTTTTACAAGCAATACCATGGAAAATGTATTCTCCAATAATAGACACTACAATCAAATGTCCCTTCACCGAATGGGCACCGTGAAAATTGTGAGCTTATTTTTAATTATAGCAGTGCTGATGTTTGCCTTTACAACAAATGTCGAAGGAATTGACTGTTTCAAGTGTGTTTCGAAAAATGGAACAAACAAGGCGTGTGACGATCCATTTCACAATAACTATTCCACATCCATACTGGAGTCTCCTTGCATGGGAGGACGCAAGGGCAGGGATGGCCTGTTTCCAGCAACAGCTTGCATCAAAATTGCCGGATATTACGATGACACAGGTGAAACCATAACTGTGCGTGGTTGTGCCCTGGACAGCGGAACTCTGACCACGGATACGGAAATTATACGTATGTCTCACTGCGGTAAATTCTATTACGATGACCGCTATGTTCATGGCTGTTTGCAGAGCTGCAGTGATGCCGATGCTTGCAACAATTCTCCAAAACAAATTCAGCCATTGGGAATTTTGAAACTTTTATTTACATCTTTGGTGATACAGCGAACGCTGGGAGCATGGAGTTAGCATATTGCCTAAAAATCGTCAGTGGCTTGATGAATTAGTTTGTTTTTGGAAAACAAAAATGGGGTTAAACCAATATCAAAATTGAATTAAAATTTTTAAAACTATGCACAAATCTCTGTTCCATTGTTAGTATTATAAGGTAAATATATCATTAAAATTAGCACTTTTTAGGAATTAATTTAATGGAATTAATAAAACATTTCAAAAAGATATACAAAATAAAATTGCGTGTATTGTTTTGTTTGTTTCTGATCGGTCTAGTTTTATTTGTATACAATCATTTAGTTTTGCTTCGTGAAATGTAAATAGAATATCAGAGAATTCGTGGATGAATCATGTATGTAATAATGTTATTTTAATAAACAGTGAACATTTATTTAGAAAGACGATAGGAAATAATATCGAATAGAAAGACCGGGCGCTTTAGAAAACAAGTCACTTGAGCACACAACATCCTCATATATTTGGACTGTGGTCCCAGAATGTTTACCTGTAAAAATTGTAAAAGAGAGAAGTGTGAAATTCATTCCACGAGACCAGAAAATGTAGGAATGGAAAATTTGAATATTGCAGCTATCGCATAATATGTTGGTAATGCGCCCACAATACCATAGGAGTGTTGTTACATTAATTAGCTACAATCACGTATGTCAGGTTGGTATAGCAACTCATAATATGGTCTGTTCCAGAACTGCCAGAATGTAAGAGTTTTTACTATGATAACCGATTTTCCCTTTATGATATGGAATAAAATTGCAAAACTAGATTCATTGTTATGAGTTTTTATGTTGTCTTTTGTTAATGTTAATCCAAGCAAAAGTCAGGGATAAAGTTGCCTTCGACCATATTTGATTATTACATTTTCCCTTTAACATTAATATTTTCTTTTGTAAAAGTCCACTCGTTCATGTAAAACAAACAACCCTTCGAAATGCGAGGCACTTGCCGTCGTTATTGATACTACCAGTTTTGGATGAAGACAGGGATGAAGTTTATTAAAACGAAGGTTAAGGTTAAGGGAGAACCTGTATAAAATACATTATTGAAAGCTAAAATGATTTCCACAAGCAAGTGGCCCACCAAACCTGATACTTCCAAGCAGTGTATAGAAAATTCGTTAACTTTCTCCAAAGCAGTCCCGTAGCTAGCCCAAATAATTCAATCAGTCCTTCTCATTTCATCGAAATCTAAGACGTTTACCCTTGTCATACTTAAAGCAGACTTGGTGAACAAAAAAGGTTCTTTAAAACGCGAATATTTTGAGGTAATTGCACGTTGGCGATATTATAAGGATTATAAAGAACTTTTTTGGTCCAAAGGAAATAAAACAAACAACATATTAAAGTAATACCCAATTTCATGCTGGTATGAACAAACACCAAAAACTTTAACATTTTTGATGCAATGGCGCCCAATTGACATATGCTCTGTTCCAAAACCTACTTTTGCAATGTTTTCCGATATCATAAATGGAAAAATGGGTTATCATGTAAAAAGTTGTAATGAATGTTGGCGATATGACAGGAAGTCCGGAACTAATTATAAAGAACTTTCCTGTTCCAAGGGAAGTAAAAACGACAATATATTAAAGTGAAACCCAATTTCATGTTGGGATCATGGTACAATAAAAATGTAAAACAACTTCGTAAAACTACAGAAATAGAGCCCTGAGGCTATGCCAACTTTCAGTCAGAATTATTCAAAGTTTTATGCAAAACGTTGTTTTTATTTATTTTATAATTTTCCTCATTATTAAAATAAGTTAAATGGTTCAAATGAACGAACCGGCTAGATTTGTTTTAAAAAATATGATCCAAACAATTCCATAGCAAAACTGGTTAATATCTTTAATGCGAGCCATGCAATGTAAGTTTCTTCCAATCATTGATATTGAAAATATTTTGTTTTTATTTTTTAAAACAATAGACTCATGCACAAAATTGGCAGAGTCGGGCACAATTATAGAAAAATTGTAATCAGCAGGTAACTTTACCTTACCTTTTTATTTTACCATGGTTGGGACGAACAAAAACAAAACGAACATTTGGTCAATCCGATCATCATATCTCAATATTATGTTAATTTGCAATCACTACATGATCCTTACGAAATGTTATATGCTGTCAGGACTATTATCAGAATAAAGGTATACAATCAACGGATAATATTTAGCGGTTTAAATGGATAACAAATTTTGATGAAAAATTCCGATTTAATGCAGAATATTTTTAATGCTTCCCTTTACTTTGTTACTGATATTGTCAGATATCGAATACATAACAATATACAGGGTAAGATAAAAAATCTGCAACAAAGCCATAATTTTTACATTCTTTTTAAATTTATTGAATGAAGGCAAAAATGTCGGAAATAGCATCAACTTTTAGAATAAATTTAGATTTGTTCGAATTAGTCACCTTTGGCATGAATTATGGCCTTCAAAAGGCAAATGAAACCGTCACATGCTGCCCGGATGCTCTGCGGTATTTTGGGCCATTCCCGGCGAAGTGCTTGCTTGAGGTGATCGACACTTTTGTATTTTTAGTGCCAACCTTGCTTTCCAAATGAAGCGAGCGAAATAAAGCTTTCCTCATTTTGTAACCATTATTGAGTGGCGCGTGCTGAGTGCGATAGTGTTGAGTCCTGTTGGTGCTGGTGTTGAATCCAAGGTCTGCGACCAAAATTTTTACGTGCCCAAGGCTTTAATACACCCTCCATAATATTTTAGGGATAATATTCGGCATTTATTCTGATGCCACGGTCGATTAATATGAACGGAGAGCGACCATCGACTGCTATGGCTGCCCACACCATCATCATGGCCGGCGCTTGAGTTCTGGTGGCCAACCGAATATGCACATTTTCAGCTGACCTCTTTGGCAAGTAAACACGATCATTTTGTTTACTTACAAACTGCTGGACAACGAATGTTTTCTCATCGGAGAAAATCAAATTCGGCAGTTCACCACTTTCGGTCAAGCGAAGAAACCCTTTAGCTCTTTTGAGTCTATTTCCTTTCGGTTGCGGCGTAAGTTCTAGCACTTTTTGGATTTCAGTGTGAATTTCAATTTCGAGCTCATTTTTCAATATTTGCCGAATGGAATATTGCTATGTGTGCAGCTCACGAGCCATTTTTCTGTCACTGCGACGCAGGTTTCGACCAAGTCGCTTCTTTACTTTTCGAACCATTTCTGCTAATGTTGCTGTTTTCTTCCGTCCGCTTCCTTGACGTCGAGCTACGCTACCAGTATCACGGTAACGAGCGATGGTGCGAGATACAAAAGATTTATTCGCATTTAAATGCTGGAGTGCTCTAACGATAGCCAATTGTGGTTTTCCAGACGAATATAAAGAAATCACACTATCACGCTTAAATTCCATCACGATTAACTTTTTTCTGGAGAATTTTAACCAAAATGTTTTTGTACGCTTGTAAACAATATAATGAGCCGACACTGGAATAATTTTAACAGTTGTCGGACGAGTGGCTTTGAAATGACAGCAGTCTGAAGTTGGTTCCAGTTTTTTCATCCCACCCTGTATTTCCTCTAACTTGATGTAAATAATACATCAAGGACCCTGCATTTGTCCAATTAAGTTGTTTCATCCGATTTTATATTTAAGAATTCTAGTCTTATCATGCACTCTATAGCAATGATATTTGATTTAGATTTATGTGACCTACAGCATAAATTTATCTGAGTCAAGTTGAGCGGAAATATAATAAGATACAGTTTTCATTGGTTAGTATCAACCGATTTCAACTTTAAACTACCAGTATGAACGTTTATTCGCTCCAGACAGATGTTTTAGACTCTCTCTTTAGAAGTCAACCCATTTAAGTTTTTCCTTGGTTTTGAGCATAAAATGTTCGAGCCCTTTCTATATGTTTCAACAGTGACTGTATAATGGCGCCCAACGGGCTTTATGAACGTTGGAATTTTACATATGTAGAAAATGATCGGCAGAATGTGAAGAGATAGGGCAAGTAGGAAATACGAATATGACATTTTTCTTGAGATTTACTCACAAATCTTTCCACGGATGCCAGTACATAAATATGCTGACTATGTATTTTCAACATTTAGTTAACATACCATTAGATTTCAGCTCCTCGGGACAAGATGTTGTCTTTTGATTATCACTATTCTCAGTTCTCCAATATTGATGAGCGGATGGTGATAAAAAATTTCCTTCAAACTGTGAATAATTTTGATTGTATGAATATGGGTAGGAATTACTTCCACAATTCTCTGGCATATCCGATGACGAAGTAACACACTGCGTTGCTGTTCCAATAAAACTTTGATTGAATTGATTCAAATAAAAGTTGTGCATTTCACGATATGTATTTTGATCTGTGCTGGAGTTTATGATTTGATTGTCATAATTATTGTGGCATTGCGTTTCAAAATTATTACGATTTGCTGAATACGATTCCAATGAAGTTTCACAAAATAAAAATTCTTCTAAATTTGTTTGCATTTTGGTAAATATTTGTTCTTTTAAAAACACCACACCAACTAATCACCAATGTTACCAAATGAAAACTAAAACGAGGGATGTCACAGTATCTGTCACGACTTTGTTGTGCAATGCAAATTTGTACGAGTTTTTTTCTTTGATTTTTTTTCAATTCTCAAGATCAAAGTGACATCTTCATAAATGGGGGAGTGATCTTAATGTTGATTGGTCGTTCAAATCATTGCCATAATGAAGTAGTGTTTTGATTGGTCCATATGTTTAACAGATTAGAAGATCCAGAAAAACACAAGTACAGATGGTGGCATTAAGTCTACTGTCAGTTCATGTCTGAAATGTTACGATCTGTTATTGTTTGTTTTCTTAAAGGGGAGTAGTACTGTAAATCATGTGCTAAGGGCAGAGTGTGTCTCGAGTGGGGTCGATTTGTGTCAATAGGACTGGATCAAATAAATTCTATGCACTTAATTTGTTTGAAAATAAACACACTTAGAAAAAAGTAAATTTTCTGAAGAAGTATTAATTCTAGATTTTTAAAAAAATAAATTCTTAAATGACATTATGGTGGAGGTTTACTCTGTTCCAAAACCTGGAAAATTTTTCAATTTTTTTGGATATAGGGAAAATAAGTTATGTAGAAACATTTTTACATTATGTCAGATTCTGGAAAAGAACATGTAATTTGTTAAATTGGACTTCATGACTTTCACTTCATTTACAAAAGATAAGACAATAGATTTTATGTATTACTGGCAAGACAATTGCATAAATCCATGGTAAAAGAATACAGGTAGATTCAGCAACGCTTGGAAACAATTGATATGTCTAATATTTAAAAATGTGTTTTTTTATTCAAGTAGATTTTTATATATAAATTGAAATTTTTGAATAATTTTTCATTCAAGTTCAAAATTGGTTTAACAGTTCATTATCGCAGCTGTTACATCGATGAGACTACCTGTATTCTTCTACCATGCATACATCATTAACCTAATACTATATATTTTTTTAATATTCCTCTCCACATTCAAGACAATTTATCATGTGTAAACGTCAATCCATGGTAGAATCAAGAAGGTAAAGTCATGCAAATATATGTTTAAAAAAAGTGTTTTTTTTTTTCAAAATTATTCGTTTGACACCTAGTTTTTATGCAGTAAAATTTGACTAGGTAAATTATCGAAAATGCAGAGATGGGAATGCTTATTTGAAATGACTTTACCTTCTTAATTTTACCATGCGTCAATCGTCAGTTTATAATCATGGTATAATAAGTTTTTAAATGGTTCGGATCGGCTCACGAAGTTGTGCTGACAAAATTTGGATTTTGTGTCGTAATTTAAACAACAATTCACAACATATACTCAAAATAATTTAATTAAATGAGACTGACTGACTGAGAATCAACGCCATGACGGAACGACTGGAACTAGATTCCTGAAATTTTGCACGAGGGCTACTTTTGGTGCGTAGGCGGGTTATAAGGCTGAGTTTTTGGAAATGCGTACTAAAAGGATATATGAAAGTGGTTTTGGAAATACGTACTAACTGAATGGTACTAAATTTGGAAAAGTTTGGTTTTGGGTGAACGAATGAAGCTGGAATTTTGACATTTTGTATTGGGGTCCCTGTTGGTGGTAGATAGAGTTGTATTGGAAATGTTTACTAGAAGTTAACGAAAAGGACTAAAGAGTACTATATTTGGAAAGAAATGGGGGGCATTCCGAAATTTAATGTTGAGGTTTCTGTGGTTGAGAGAAGGAGATTGTTTAGAATATGTGTACTTTAACTGTTCGAAAAGAACTAAATGTTAGTAAATTGGTATTTAGTGAAGAGATTGAGCGGAATTCCTGAAATTTGATATTAATGTCATTGTTTGGGTTCCACGGTTTTAGGAAATCGTGTTATGAACGTACGAACAGTGCAAAATGACACAAAATGAGAGGAAATTCTGAAATCTGGAATCGAGGTCACTGTTCGTGTATAGGGTGTATATACTGTTACGATCTGTTATTGTTTGATTTCTTAAAGGGGAGTAGTAAACAATATAATGAGCTGTCGCTGGAATAAGGTCGGACGAGTGGCTTAGAAATTACAGCAGTCTGAAGTTGGTTGCAGTTTTTTCATCTCACCCTGTATAGTTTTGGGAGAAGGAGGTGGATTGTGGAATGCGTACTATGATTTGTTGAAAAGTATTAAATGGTAAAATGTTTGCCGTTGAGTAAATAGATTTAGCATGAATCCTGACAATTGATATTGAGGTCATTGTTGGTTTCTCTTTTTTTATGATAAAAGACGTTCAAATAGCATTGGCCAGAAAAATTGGATGTGGAACCATTGATCAAGGGTTTAACTAATATGCTCTTCGGTAAACTAGAAATCGAAAAATGTTGAAGACCTTTTGGTTGAAAAGGTAATAATTTTTCAGAAAAACTTGAGCAGGAATAAAAAGTTATCGAACTGCTGGTTTTTGTTTGGAAATGTTGTCCAAGAGGCATAATGAACAAATTGTACATTTTGAGTACTAAAATGAACTGGTTGAATTAATATACCAACTAACAAAACCCGAATCATGGCTTAAAGGTTGATGTTATTCCCTGGATGTAATTGGATATTTCGGGTTTTTAGGTAAACTCTTCTCCCATAGATTATCTCATCTCAAAAGTATTCAGTAAGACAATAGGCCCTATATAAATTTTAAGCATTTTGAAGATTTTACGAAAATTCAAGTACACAAATTTTGGCCCCACCGTATTTAACGTCGTTTTCACTACTGATAGTTGCATTCTTGTATTTTTAGCAATTTATATATGTATAATTTTTGTCTAAGTGTAATTTACGCATCGATCTTCCAAGTGTAAGCAAGAACCTCTACACACAAACACACTGGGTATTTGTTTACATTATGAAATATGAATACTTCAATACGTAGATATGAGTTTTACGGAAGTGTAATACTTTGCTGTTTTTCCTTCCTCTCTTTTTGTTTGGGTTATTCCACAAAGATCATTTAACGGCATTGTGGAGGAACATATGTTGGGTAGTCATAATATTTTTATAGCTCAATTAATTTGGCTTCTTACAATAGTCGGCTTTCTTAGACGAATTAAAAAAAAAGAGTTTTAAGCCACATTAGCACAGCATCTCAATCATAGTTCCAATTGATGAGATTATATCTTTTCTTTAGACAATTTTTTTGAGCTAGTAAGTCATATGAAGTTTTTTATTTGTTCGCAAAGAATACAAGATTTTCCCTTCTGTGAGATGGTGTCGTTTATTTCAGCAACATGTGGATGCTTTCCAATATGTTGCCTTTGTTTTTAGTGGCGGATTGTTTGTTTATTTGAACGATACGTGCGTTTCATATTTGTATAAGGGGCACTATGTCACTCTGTACAAGTGTGTCTTTTCTCAAATTCAAATGATGAAAAAAACAGTCCTTCGAATAGTTCGTTGTTTTTTACAACAAAAAATATAAAATTCTGATCGAGTGGATAATTTTCAATAATTTTCCATATTAAAAATCAGCCCCAAGTCTTTTTTCATCCTAAGAAGTTTCAAATCAGATTCTGTATTAAAAAATCAAAAACCCCTTGTACTTTCCTACATGCTTGAAGAAAGCAAGTGTAATAACGTATGAGTATAAACTGTACTAAGTTCGGCCGATATTTATTTTTTGGCAAAGTATGTAAAAAACGCATAAATGGAAGGTCAACATTTTCCTATATCAAATTATATATGTGTCTAAAAATGTAATTTGTCTCTAAGCGGAAAATTTAGTCAGTATATAGGATTAACATTTTTTATGTGATCAACTTTTTGTAGTGGGATTCTCTACCCTTTTTTTAAACAACATAAAACTATAAAGATTGGAAAAACTGCATATTGATCAAACAATTAATGACGACAAGACACAATTGAATTAGGAACCTTAAAGAAATATGTTATTCCGAAATCGCCAAAAATTAATGGATATCCGCAAAGAAAAACATCATTAATGATGGATATGGTCTCAAAAATCTATTCCAGAGCATTTTAGTATACATTGGATCAGTAAAAAGCAGCGAAATGTATATAAATGTGTCTACTCTGTTAGGTTACAATATAATGCTATTTCACGATATGGTGACATAACACATTTATCTATTACTAACACCATCTATTGAATGAAGGCAACAATGAAATGTTCCATCTTTGCCAAGACATATGACTGCGATGTATTTAAATTTTTGATAACGTTTGTCTGTTGTAATCAAAATATTTTTTTCAAATACATTTTAAAGATTCTCTCCACATTTTAAAATGGAATATTCTGAAGTTTGGTATTTTTATACATAATTAATATTATCTTCAACAAAGAACAGCCTACATGAATCTCTGTTGTGGAATAGCTCCATAACACTATACCACCCAAAATTCAGTATTTTTATGTTTTTGGCATTTTCAAAAAATTGTTTTCTTTTTGTTATCTATATTATGTAAGCCACACTCGATACAAATGGCTGTACAACTTAAAGAGTACTCAAATTGTGTACAATCTCTTTGGACAACTTCATTTAGCCAGCAGTTTCTTTCGAATAAAGATGATGTTGGAAATAATTGCCTGTGGTATAATTGGACCAAACATTTGAAAGTAAATTATGTATGCAGGTTAACATTTTTATAAAGTTCGCATATATATGTGCAGTCCGATTTCCGATTTTTGATTGATTGTACCTATATTGTACGGCTGAAATGATTGTACTTTAGTATTTCTCATTTCTACAGGTTTAGCAGTCTCATAAAAAATAATTAATGTTGGTCCACTTTTCGGTATATCCCCCACATAACACAGTAGGCTATTTTCTCTATATTTTTAATCCCATAATTGTTGTTTTTATAAAAATCACCTTTGATTATTAGTAAAGAAAGATGGTGCCATGGCTTCAAAATCAGTCCACTTGGTTTTTGTTTTGGGATATTCCCCCTTTGAAGTTATTTTAAAATACAACTAAACTTTGATAATAATAATGATAAGACTGATTTATTCAAAGTGAAGTGATTAGTAAAGGCCATATTATATAATATATTCGTCTCATATATATATATATATATATATATATATATATATATATATATATATATATATATATATATATATATATATATATATATATATATATATATATATATATATATATATATATATATATAAACCTTTTGCAAATGAAAATGAAATGAGACCTTTTGCATTGGAAATGAAACCTTTAGCAACCGAAATGAAACTTTTTGCAACCGAAATGAAACTTTTTGCAAACCAAATAAAACTTTTAGATTTATAGAAGGAAAATACCAACACATTTTTATTTTTAGTAGGTTCAAAATAAATTATATCAACTAATCATAACTAATATAGAGTTAAAGAGGAATTTTTATTGATTATTTATATATATACATTTTTATATTATTA